TTTTACGGCCCATTGTTGTTGGACCGTCTGTGCGTGTACGGCGTAGCCGTGGCTACGTCGTTTCGCAACCTCCGATCAGCATGGCTGGCTACGTAGGGTGCGAAAGAAGTTCAATATATTGTACATACACGCGAGTCTGCTGAGACGCTGAATGTTGAAACCGGTCCTGGCCTCTAAACACACGAGCAGTTACACCAGAATTGGTTGCAGCGAGCCCGAGTGCTGCCGATGGGACACTGGATGTAGATAGGCGCTGATCGTCAAACGGGAAGTGATTCGACTGCAGGTTCGATCAAACACAAGAGGCCGTGGCTACCACTGACACAAGCCTCGCATCCACAGCCGCTCACAACTCGCGCAGCACAGCAAAGTGGCCGCCCTCAGTCGGTACAACCGACCTCACGTCGTCATCACCACCACCACTTTGTACGAAAAACTCGTTTCGGCAAAACGGTCATTTAATGAAAAGCTACTTTTCAACTTTGCGATTTCATAAATATTTCACTTCCGGACGAATTAATAAGAGGAATAAAACAAAGCGACGTTAATCACGACATGAGCACGTGTTTGTTTGTTCGTTTTACCAACAAGAGCAGAAGACACGACGCTGGTGGGGCCACGGACTCGGGGAGAAAGCAGCACGGCCACGTGACCACAACCTCGCGACCACCACGTGGGGTCAGCACTGCCCAACGGTTCCTCTCCCCTCTCACCTCACTCTACTCTCCTCCATGCACTCTCCTATCTCTCCCATCACTCTACTCCCCTCCACGCACTCTCCTATCTCTCCCCTCTCACCTCACTCTACTCCCCTCCACGCACTCCCCTACCTCTCCCCCCTCATCTCACTCCAATCCCCTCCACACACTCTCCTACCTCCACCCTCTCATCTCACTCTACTCTTCAGCAACCACGGCCTCAGGTCAAATCTCCCAGTCCAGGTCTGCTTAATGGGAGGTCGCTCCTTCTCCTCTGCTTCCCGGACCATCTCGAGCTCCCCTCCGTCTGCCCTGCCGACTCGAGGCCGAGACGGAGACGGCTCTTCCCTTGTGGCTGCTCCTCACCACCCCGGGGCCGCGCCGCGCGACGCCGCAGCCGCGTTGACGAGGCGAACCCATCGGATCAAAACCCAACCCGCGGGGGCGATCGTTGCAGCGACGAAGCCGCCGCCGCCGCCGCCGCCCGTGCCGTTACGAGGGCGGCGAGGCGCGCCACCCCTCACCGCTCACGGCACAACGCGGCGGCGCACCAGAGACGGCCGCGCCTCGGGACCCGAAGGGGATCGGGGAGCGCCGGGGAGGGTTGAGAAGGAGGCCGCTCGGCCCTGCCGCCTCGCAGGAGAAGCGAGTTCCCGAGCCGAGCGAGCGCCGGCTGCGCCCGAGCCCACCTCCGTCGTGCCGTCTCCGCGGCGCCCGCTCCTTCTCTCGGCTGCGAGTCCGCCGGGGAAGCGTCGACCGCCGGTCCGACCGTACATTTCCGGCTGCGAGCCGTCCCGGCCAAAACCTCCCCCCCCCTCACGCTCACTTCTGTTTCACGGTCGGAGTACGGCCCGTGAGTTCCGTCTCTCGGTGGACTTCAATTCCCAGCGTGCACCTCTTTCTACTCCTCCTCCTCTTCTTCGTCTTCCGCTGCCGCACTCCCATCAGTTTTTTGTTGTATTCCGCTTTCCTCAGAAAAGGTTCCCATTCACGATCCCACGTGCGATGACAGAATATATTACAGAGTGCAAGTCCTGACGAAACAACGGAGCCACAGACAAAAGTTTTTTTTTGCGAGCGGTTGGTGCAGGTGTGGTAACAGGGCTCTGTTGGCGGGTGGACAATGTTGGATCTGGCTACCGGCGCCGCAAACTTTTCCACCGCATACCAAACCCGAACCCTATTTCTCACTCGGCCTGGGCTTATAATCAACGCTACGCAGTTTCACTGCAATACAGCTCAACACAAACCCGGTACCCAGGTCTCGGTACAAATCGGTTCCTGCTGCCACCTGAACAATTGATTCCAATTCTCGGGACTGTCCGGGACAAATCTGGCAACCCTCGTGCGTGGATGAGTGGGTAGGTGGGCGAGCGAGTGGTGCGAGTGGGTGGGTGAGTCACTGAGTGACTTGGAATACGAATGAGTGAATGAATCAGTGGGTCAGATGGTGAATGGTTGCGAGCGAGTGAGCGAATGAGTCGGTGGTTGAGGGTTGCCACCTTTCCCACAGCACAAACCCAGGCGTAGTTCCCCGGGCCCCGCACTTTGGGGGGCCCTGCGCTTCGACGTCACGCTGGTGCCAGACATGATACTCCCACCAGTTTAGTTTGAAAGCGTCGGGGGGGCCACGCGTGGTGACTCCCCCCCGCCATGGACGGCCTCAAATACCGGCACCGGATCTCGGTACAAACTCATCCCTGCTGCGATAACCCAACACAGATGCCAATTCCCGGACTGTCCCGAGTCAAAGCTGGATGGGCAAGGCGAACAACTCCCAGTGGGGAGAAAAGCTCTCGGGGCGTGCCACGAGGGACAATGATAATAACGTTGACTAAACTAACGGCGCTCACCTCTCACCGAATCGTGGCACGTTCCACCCTCACACGAGCCCTCTCACCGGCGGCATTCGCATCGCCCACGCAAGAGTGGCTGCGGTGGGTCACGGGTTTTGGGGTGCCACGGTGGCTCGGAGACGTTAACTCCCTCGCCCGGTGTACGGGAGGTCGTGGGTTTGAACCCAACCCTGACGCCTGCTGCTGCTGCTGCTGTATATTTGGAGTTTGCGTCTCTCTCTCCCCCCGTGGCCGTGCGTATTTTTCTCGGGATCCTCCGGTATTTTGCCGCTATACATTTCCACGCGACAAGCCACTTAGTTGAGCTGTCATTTGCGTGGCCAGGTCGCTTCTGGAAAAAAGAGCTACACAGCTGAGTGGGCCTTACCTGGTAAAACACAAAACAGTTTCGCTTTTAGTTTCGTTTTGTACGCACGGACGCAGGCGCTCGCGCCACCGCGGCTCGACACACCGCACAGTTTGCGAGCACCCATCAATGACAGCGCCGGCGGCACCGGGCGCGAGAGCGTTGGGTCGGCGCCAGGACGCACGCCGCAGCCACGTCGCGGCGTCTCGCCTGCCGCCGGCGCGGTGCAGCGAGCGCCCTCGGCCGTGGGTGCCGAGTGGAACCCCGGGCCGGGGGGGGCGGAGGAACCCCGGGGAGGGGGGGGCGGAGGAACCCCGGGGAGGGGAGGGCGGAGGAACCCCGGGGCGGAGGAACCCCCCCGCAGCGGGCGGGGAGCGTCCCGGAGAGATCATCCGCCCTGGGCGCGCGCCCGGCCGGCTCGTTCCCCCCCACCAGCCCGGCACGCGCCACGATCCCGCAAACCCCACCCCCCCCCCCCGCTCGCGTTCACCAAACTTGCCGAGACGGCACGACGGTGGACTGCGGGGAAAACCTTCGGCGTACGCCGCCAGCACTGCCCGTCGGAGCCGTGGGGGCACAGCGCGACGCTTCTCAGCCGGATCCGTCCAAGCTGGCGACCCTCAACATGTTAAGTTGCCCAGCACACCACTCCCAGCACACCACTCCCAGCACACCACTCCCAGCACACCACTCCCAGCACACCACGCCCAGCACACCACGTCCAGCACACCACTCCCAGCACACCACTCACAGCACACCACGCCCAGCACACCACGTCCAGCACACCACTCCCAGCACACCACGTCCAGCACACCACGTCCAGCACACCACTCCCAGCACACCACTCCCAGCACACCACGCCCAGCACACCACGCCCAGCACACCACGTCCAGCACACCACTCCCAGCACACCACTCCCAGCACACCACGTCCAGCACACCACTCCCAGCACACCACTCCCAGCACACCACTCCCAGCACACCACTCCCAGCACACCACGCCCAGCACACCACTCCCAGCACACCACTCCCAGCACACCACTCCCAGCACACCACTCCCAGCACACCACTCCCAGCACACCACGTCCAGCACACCACTCCCAGCACACCACGTCCAGCACACCACTCCCAGCACACCACGCCCAGCACACCACTCCCAGCACACCACTCCCAGCACACCACTCCCAGCACACACTCCCAGCACACCACGTCCAGCACACCACTCCCAGCACACCACGCCCAGCACACCACTCCCAGCACACCACTCCCAGCACACCACGCCCAGCACACCACTCCCAGCACACCACTCCCAGCACACCACTCCCAGCACACCACTCCCAGCACACCACGTCCAGCACACCACTCCCAGCACACCAGGCCCAGCACACCACTCCCAGCACACCAGGCCCAGCACACCACTCCCAGCACACCACTCCCAGCACACCACTCCCAGCACACCACTCCCAGCACACCACGTCCAGCACACCACTCCCAGCACACCAGGCCCAGCACACCACGCCCAGCACACCACTCCCAGCACACCACGTCCAGCGCACCACTCCCAGCGCACCACTCCCAGCGCACCACTCCCAGCGCACCACTCCCAGCACACCACGTCCAGCACACCACTCCCAGCACACCAGGCCCAGCACACCACGCCCAGCACACCACGTCCAGCACACCACGCCCAGCACACCACGTCCAGCACACCACGCCCAACACACCACTCCCATCACACCACTCCCAGCACACCACTCCCAGCACACCAGGCCCAGCACACCAGGCACAGCACACCACTCCCAGCACACCACTCCCATCACACCACGCCCATCACACCAGACCCAGCACACCACGCCCAGCACACCAGACCCAGCACACCACGCCCAGTACACCACTCCCAGCACACCAGGCCCAGCACACCACTCCCAGCAGACCAGGCCATCACACCACTCCCAGCACACCACTCCCAGCACACCACTCCCAGCACACCACTCCCAGCACACCACTCCCAGCACACCACTCCCATCACCCCACGCCCAGCACACCACTCCCAGCACACCACTCCCAGCACACCACTCCCAGCACACCACTCCCAGCACACCACTCCCAGCACACCACTCCCAGCACACCACTCCCAGCACACCACTCCCATCACACCACTCCCATCACACCACTCCCAGCAGACCTCCGGCCGCGGCGGCCTGCTCCGCTCACCGACCCGCGATCCGGAAAGCGCTCGGTGAGAAGCGAAGCCGCGCCGCCGCCGCCGCCGCTCCCGTCTCGTCTCGGTTCCCCCGTCAGCGCTGCCTCTTTTGCTTCCTCTTTCCGCCCGGCTCGGGCGATGCTGCCTCCTTCTCATTGCCCACCTCCTCAACCACCTCCTCGCCCGCGTCCGTCTCCTCCTCATCCTCCTCCTCGTGCCGTCGTTTAGACGCCCGAGCGGACGCGGAATGTACGACGTCGCCGCCGCCGCCGCCGCCGCCTCCGGAGCCGTCGCGAGCACCAAAGTCGCCGTTCCTCTTCGTCTCCTCCTCCTCCTCCTCCTCCTCGTCGCTCTCCGTCACCCGGCGGCAATGGCGGCCGCGGCGGCGCCCGTCCCCGGATGATGAAGAGCGCGACAACGAGGACGACGCCCGCGACGATGTCGGGGACGACGAGGACGACGAGGCCTGCGACGACGACGCCACCGCCGCCGCCGACGAGGACGACGAGGAGGGCGACGACGACGAGGCCGGCGCCGCCGCTTTGCCGTTCGTCAGTCGGCGACGTCTGGACGTGGTGCCCCTCGCCTCGTCGAAACCGGACGACGAGGACGACATCGTCGACGCCGACGACGAGGTTTTATCCGTCGCTCGCCTTTTCCCGCTCGCGGCGCTGCCGCCGGCCTCCTCCTCCTCCTCCTCGTCCGTGAGCCAGCTGCACGTGGGCGTCTGTCGGGCTGGCCTGTTGGACCCAACGTCGTCGTCAACGTCGTCGTCAACGTCGTCGTGGTACGGGCCTCTGATCAAAATCCATTCTCCGGTGCCGTCCTCCTCCGCGTCACCCGCAACCGCACGCCGCTCCTCCTCCTCCTCCTGCTGCTGCTGCTGCGGCTGCGGCTGCTGCTGCCGCCCCTTGCGCAGGTGCCTCCTGTAGCTGTTGCAGATCTTGTTGTAGACGCGGAACACCTTGCGGGCTTCCGCGGCGCCGTCACCAAAGCGGGCGCTCGTGTCCGACGACGACGACGACGACGCCGCCGGCCCCGCGCCGCCGCCGGCGCCGCCGCTCTCGGACGATAACGACGACGACGACGACGACGACGACGGCGCCGCCGCCGTCCTCGACGTCGTCGGAGGTTCGCAGGCGGCGGCGGCGGCCGCGGCGGCCGCCCCCCCGTCCGGCGGGTGCCGGCGGCTCCTCTGCTTGCGGGCGCGCGTGCGCGCCGCGTTGCGCCGGCGCGTGCTGGCTCGCCGGTCCTCGCCGCTCTCTCCGCTCTCTCCGCTGTCTCTCGCTCCGTCGCCGCCTCCGTTTTTCCTTCCGTCGTCGTCGTCGTTTTGGTCGGCGTCGGGCGTTCGGCGCTCCCCGCCGCCGCCGCCGCCGCCGTCGTCGTCCGACGTGTCCGGCGAAACGTCCGCGGCGCGGCGCCGCCGCCACCGCCGCCGCGTGCCGCCTCTCCCGTTGCCGCTGCCGGCGTTGTTGTTGTCGGTGCCGCCGGCGCCGCCGTCGTTGCTGCCGGTGCTGGTGGTGGTTCCGCGAGGGGCGGCGGCCGAGGGAACCGCGCCGCGAGGGATGCGGGGAGGATGCAGGGGGCGCGGATCGCGAGGCTGGCGCTCCCACTCGTCCAGCTGGCGCGCAGACACAGACGACCGGTCACGGTCACTCGCCGTCACGGCACGCACGCGCTCCCCTCTATCGTCTAAACAGACGGTTTGGGGCAAGTGCTGTCAATACACACCCCCACACTCACTCCCACACACACTCCAACACACACTCCCACACACACACTCCCACTCCCTCGCACACACACCCCCACACACACTCACACTCCCACACCCTCCCACACACACCCCCACACACACTCCCACTCCCTCCCACACACACACCCACACACACCCCCACACACACTCCCACTCCCTCCCACACACATCCCCACACACACCCCCACACACACTCCCACACCCTCCCACACACACACAACAACAACCGCCATTCGCCACTAAGTGGCGGTGACGTCACCACGACGCTTGTGCCAGGCCATGTGCACCTTGAGGCCACGTGAAGTGTCGAACACCCGCTGGCAGGAGGTCACGGGGCAGACCCAGGTGCCATGGGTCGACTGACTGAGATGAGTGGCTGGTGCCCCACCTGTGCCCCCTACTGTGCCAACCTGCTGTGCTTTAGCCAACTCGACTGACTGAGATGACTGAGATGACTGGCTGGTGCACCACCTATGCCCCCTACTGTGTTAACACACACACACACACCCCCACACACACACACTCTCACACACACACACACACACCCCCACACACACACATACACCCCCCCACACACACACACAAATAAAGACAAAGATCCCCCGTATAGCCTTAAGACTGTAGGGGCAAGTGCTGTTAGCGAGCAGCACCTATGAAGGCCGGAACGGTACACGAGGGGGTGGGTGGCCAGCACCACGCCCGACCGCCTTAGTCTCCCCAGTGGCAATGTTTTTATCCACCGCACCAGGTACTCATTTGAGGCTGAGTCGACCTAGGGGAGGCCCAGGACCGGTTCAGATAATCGTCAATGGTGTTGGCCGTGAGCGGGAATCGAACCCGGGTCACCAGGTTCATAGCGCAGCGCGCTAACCGCTACACACCCCCCCACACACACACACACACCCACACACACACACACACCCCCCCACACACACAACCCCACACACACACACCCCCACACACCCCCCCCCACCCCACCCCCCCCACCACCACACACACACACCCCACCACACACCCACCCACACACACCCCCCCCCCCACACACCCCCCACACACACCCACACACATCCCCCTCACACACTCACCCCCCCCCACCCACACACACACACACCCACACACACACACACACCCCCACACACACACCCACCACACCACACACACCACACACACCACACACACACACACACACCCCCCCACACCCACCCCCCCCCCCACACACCCACACACCCCCACACACACACACACACACCCCCCCACACACACCCACACACACCCCCCCACACACACCCACACACATCCCCCTCACACAGACACCCCCCCCACACACACACACACCCCCACACACACACACCCCCACACACACACACACCCCCCCACACACACACACCCCCCCACACACACACACCCCCCCACACACACACACCCCCCCACACACACACACACCCACACACACCATACACACACTCACCATACACACTCACCATACACACACTCACCATACACACCCCCCCACACACACACACCCCCCCACACACACACACCCCACACACACACCCCCCCACACACACACACCCCCCCACACACACACACCCCCCCACACACACACACACTCCCACACCCACACACACACACCATACACACACTCACCATACACACTCACCATACACACACTCACCATACACACCCCCCCCACACACCCCCCCCCCCCCACACACACACACACACACCCCCACACACACACCCCCCCACACACACACACACACACCCCCCCACACACACACCCCCACACCCCCACACATACCGACTCGCCCCCCCCCCCCCCTCACCGGCACCAGCACCCCCGTCAGGGGGCTCCGCTCGGCCGCGGCGCCGCGGGGCACCCACGCTAGCGCGCCGGGGCTGGCGTCGCTGTCGGACGCCGAGCTCCAGCCGTCCACTTCGCGCTGCACCAGCGAGTCGAAGAAGGCCATCATGCGCGGGTCCTCGTCCAGCGACTGCTGCCCGTAGTCGTGCGACAGCGCCGAGCCGCTCGACAGCACCAGGCCGATGTACTCCTCGTGCGTGTACATGGCCCGGCGCGGCTCCTGCGCCTCGCCAGACAGGTCGCCGCGGGAACCGGGCTGCACGAACGGGGACCAAACCTGGGCGCGGGGGTGGGGGCGGCGGGGGTGGAGTGTCATTTGATTAGCGTTGACGGGGGTGGTCTCGTTCAGCCCGTCGCGCGAGCACAGAAGCGACAGAAACACGAGTAGCGCGGAGAACGAGTAGAGGGCAGGTCGCCGGGGTGGGTGGGTGGGTGGCGTGGGTGGAGTGGGTAACGATCCGTATTCGTTTGTCAGGCGAGGCCACGTGGCTGCGTTTTTGTGTTCGCCACGATTGTTGCCGTCGGACGCGATGGCCACAGCTGAACACCTTGGCGGAGAAGCGCGGTCATTCTGCTCGGCCGTGTCGGGTGGTGGAGAGGGCACGGACGTATGTTTGAGCCACTTTGGCACCACACGTAGCCAACCATGCCAATCGGAGGACAGCACACTACCACACGAGAAGCGGTTCTAACTGCCTGGCGACGTGTTTGGTCTCCCGCCCCACGATCGTTCCGCGGCCAAAACCAAAACCGTACCGCGAATCGATTCCAAGCGGACGGACGCACCGAGGAGCAACGGCATCAGAATCAGAATCAATATTTACAGTGGACGATTCCAATGAGCTATGAAGCTCTTTTTAACAGATGCCAAGTAGTAGGGGCGCGGGGTAAGAACGTTACGACAACAACAAACTATACAAAAGCACGATAGGAGTGCAAAGTACAGGAACGGCAAACCAATCGCCCAACACACACACACGTGGAACCAAACAATGCCCATCCTGCCAAGCGCAGCTCACCGATGTATTAACTTATTATTATTATTATTCGGAGGCATCGCCAGGGTGGGGGGTGTCGGGTGAGGGTACCTTGATGACCTTCTCGACCCCGGAGGAGCACAGCATGTGGGTGTTGTTGTTGAAGCGGACCTGGTTGACGATCGAGCGGTGGCCCTTCAGCACCAAGAAGGCTCGCGGCACCGTCCGCTCGGCCTCTGCACCCCCAGCCCACACAGCGCACGTGGTGGGTGGGGGGAGGTGGGGGGGGGGATCGGGGTCCGCTCAGCCGTAAAGATATCCTGAAGCAAAAGATTAGTGCTGGATACAGCTGCATTGTCCAAAGTGGGGCAGGATGTGCGGGCCGGCCGGCGTGCGGCACAGCGGCAGCGTAGCGGTCCGCGAGCCGCGCCGTGAACCCGGCAACCCAACTTCTATTCCCGCTCACGGGCAACACCGGTGACGATTACCTGAACTGGTGCTTGGCCTCCCCTAGGTCGACTCAGCCTCAAATGAGTAGCTGCTACGGTGTGTGATAAACATCGCCACTGGAGAGACGATGTCGGTCGGGCGTGGTGCTGGCCACCCACCCCGCCATGCGTACCGTTGACGCCTCCATCGGTGCTCGCCAACAGCACTGGCCCCAACAGTCCGTCAAGGCTACACCGGGGGATATTTGCAAACCTGTCAACCCCTTATCAGTGCCCTACCTTATTACAGACCAATTCAGACCTTGTTGGTCACCCCGTGCCCCTTATAAATCTCAACGTTCATCCTACAAAGGCCCTTCTTTTAGCCAATCTCCCTGGACACGGAGAGCCGTAACGAGGCGCTCGACGGTGATTTTTTAACTCAAACTCGTGCGGGCCAGTGCGGCACGTGTGGCCCAGGCCGGAGGCTTCGACGGAGAGGCGCCACCCCCACCTTGAATGGGCTCGTCGGGGATCCGCCACATGTAGAGGTTGAAGTCATCCGACCCCGACAACACGTACTGCAGCACAGGGACACACACCGTCGTTAGAGTGCACCTCACACACTCACACACACTCACACTCACTCACTCATACACTCACTCATACACTCACACTCACTCACTCACACACTCATACACATACACTCACACTCACTCATACACTCACACTCACTCATACACTCACACTCACTCACTCCCACTCATACACTCACTCACACTCACTCACACTCACTCACTCACACACACACACTCACACACACACACTCACTCACACACTCACACACACTCACTCACACACTCACACACACTCACTCATACACTCACTCACACTCACTCACACACTAACACACTCACTCACACACTAACACACTCACTCACACTCACTCACACACTAACACACTCACACACTCACTCACACTCACTCACTCACACACACTCACTCATACACTCACACTCACTCACATACACAGACTCACTCACTCACACTCACTCACACACACTCACTCACACTCACTCACACTCACTCACACACACTCACACACACTCACTCACACTCACTCACACTCACTCTCACACACACTCACTCACACACACACTCACACACACTCACACTCACTCACTAACACACTAACACACTCACACACACTCATACACTCACACACACTCACTCATACACTCACACACTCACTCACACACACTCACACACACACTCACACACACACTCACACTCTCACTCACACACACTCACACTCTCACACACACTCACACACACTCACTAACACACTAACACACTCACACACACTCACTCATACACTCACACTCACTCACACTCACTCACTCACACTCACACACTCACACTCACACTCACTCACACACACACTCACTCACACTCACTCACACACACTCACTCACTAACACACTAACACACACACTCACTCACTCATACACTCACTCACTCACACACACACACTCACTCACTCACACTCACTCACTCACACTCACACACACACACACTCACTCACTCACACACTCTCACTCACACACACACACACTCTCACTCACACACACTCACTCACACTCTCACTCACACACACACACACACTCACTCAGACTCACTCAGACTCACACACACACACTCGCTCACTCACTCACACTCACTCACTCACACTCACTCACACACTCTCACTCACTCACACACTCACTCACTCACACTCACTCACACACTCAGACACACACACTCACACACACTCACACTCACTCACACACTCTCACACTCACTCACACTCACACACACTCACTCACTCACTCACACTCACTCACACACACTCACTCACGCACACACACTCACGCACACACACACACACAAAGATAAACAAAGATCCCCCATATAGCCTTAACAGACTGTAGGGGCAAGTGCTGTTAGCGAGCACCTATGAAGGCCGGAACGGTACACGAGGGGGTGGGTGGCCAGCACCACGCCCGACCGCCTTTGTCTCCCTCGTGGCAATGTTTACACACCGCACCAGGTAGTCACTTGAGGCTGAGTCGACCTAGGCGAGGCCCGGGACCGGTTCAGATAATCGTCACTGGTGTTGGCCGTGAGCGGGAATCGAACCCGGGTTGCCAGGTTCATAGCGCAGCGCGCTAACCGCTACACTATCGTTCCCCAATCACACACACACACACTCACTCACACTCACTCACACTCACTCACACACACTCACACACACTCACACACACTCACTCACTCGCACACACTCACTCGCACTCACTCGCACACACTCACTCACACTCACTCGCACACATTCACACACACACTCACACTCACTCACCTACCCTTCCACACTCTAAACAAACTCTCCCACACCCTCTTACACACTGCCAAACTCTCCTGCACTCCTCACCCTCTCTCTCTCTCCACTCCCTCCCACCCTTGCCTGCTCTCCTGCGTTCTCTTCACACTCCCCCCCCCCAATTTACTCCCACGCTCTCCCCACCCTCTCCCCACAATCTCCCCGGTGCTCTCCGTCACTCTCTCTCTCTCTCTGCCACCAACCCCCCCGACACCCCCCTCACAGCCCCCTGCCCCCCCCACAGCCCCCCCCCCACCTCCCTGAAGTGTCACCTGGTCGCGGTCGCCTGCGAAGCAGCAGCTCTTCATGGTGCACGAGTTGTAGTAGCCGGGGTGCTGGAAGTGGCACAGGGGCCGCGTGTGGCGCACGTCGAACAGCACGGGCGGCAGGCGGCGCCGCAGCGCCACCAGGCGGCCGCCGCTGGCGTCGAAGCGAACGCTCATGGCGCTGGCGGGGCCGCCGTCGCCACCGTAGCTCCACAGGCAGCTGGGGGGCGCACAGCCACGGGGAAGGGGGGGGGGGGGAGGTGAGGGAGGGAGGGAGGGAGCGGGCGGGCGGTGCGGTGAGCGAGCGAGGCGGTGGGCCCCCACCTGCGAGGCTTGCGCACGTCCCACAGCCCCACGCCCTCCTTGGAGTTGGCAGTGGCGACGAGGCGCGACTCCACGGGGTTGAACATCACCCCGTGGAACGGCGAGCGGTAGTTCGCCAGGCAGAACGGCTCTGCGGGAGAAGCCACCGGATATATTGTGACCGTCGCCATCATCATCATCCACGCAACGGGAATCATACCACTGAGATCGTCACCACCAGCAGCACTACCACCATCGCCAGCACCGCAACTACCACCATCACCACGGGCGGCCGTGCGCGTACCCTCGTGGTGGGAGATCCGCGTGTCCCAGATGAGCACGCGGCCCTCGTCGGAGGAGCTGGCGAAGACGCAGTCATTGTCGGGGCTCACCGAGAGGCCATAGACGGCCTCCTCGTGCGGAAACACGTCCACCGTGTCGCCCCTGTGCACGCACAACAACAACAACAACGACGACGATTACATTAACAACAACAACACAACGACATCAACACAACGACGACGACTACATCAACTACATCAACAACAACGATTACATTAACAACACAATGACGATGACATCAACAACACAACGACATCAACAACAACGACGACGACTACAACAACTACAACAACAATGACGACATCAACTACAACAACAACGACGACGATTACATCAACTACATCAACAACGACAACGACTATTACATCTTGATTTAAAGCTTTCGTGACTGCAGTAATTCATATTCTTAGCTCTTTCGGTAAAGTCACGTTGAAGGGAAAAATAAAATAATAAAATATATAACAATAAAAATTCGCACGACGTTTCGACCATAACACAAACGACCGTTATGGTCGAAACGTCGTGAGAATTTGTATTGTTTTATATATATTTTATTATTTTATTGTTTCCCTTCAACGTGACTTTACCGAAAGAGCTAAGAATATGACGATTACATCAACAACAACGGCGACGTCGCTTGGCTCTACGCGGCGTCCAATCCAGCAGGAAGGAGAAACTGCTACCATCCCACGGGCCGGACGGGACAGCAGCAACACCAACAACTTCAAATGTCACTTTTTTTTTACATTTTAGTTTATTTTACCAGGTCAGGCCCACCGAGCTATTGTCGCTCTTTATCAGAAGCGACCTGGCCACAATTGATGGCTCAACCAAGTGGCTTACCATCACGTGGACATTTCTAGCGGGGAAATATTCTAAACGCGTTTCTAAATGTAGAGGGAAAAACCGGAGGACCCGCGGAAAAATCCACGTGACCACGGGGAGAGAGAGACACGCAAACTCCAAATGTATACAGCAGCAGCAGCAGGCGTCAGGGTCGGGATCGACCCCACGACCTCCTGCATACAAGGCGAGGTAGTTAACATCTCCAAGCCACCATAACTACCCAGGTGCAGCTTCACTCCTTCCAGTCGCACCTCCTCATCCCTCGTGTCAGGGGAACCACTTTTTGCATTTCGCGCCCCCGTGTACAACCTCCAGAGGCCACAACTCCTCACCTGCCACTTCTTCCCTCGCACTGCTCCCCTGATTTGGATTTCCCTCCAACAATCATCGTCGTCGTCTCTTTTCCCCGAGCTCTTATACAACAATAACCTCGCTCGATTCAAATAACGTGTCTCTCTCTTTACCTACCACAAGTTCGATGGTGCTGTTTGTTATATGTATGTTGAACTTCTTTCGCACAGTACGTAGCCAACCGCACTAATCGGAGGTGCGGGGGAAGGACAACAAACTAAACACAAAGAGCAGTTGTAAAAAAGAGTTTTCAATCTAGATTCAAAAGTGTATAGTCCCAGTGGCTTCCTAATAACAGAAGGAAGAGCGCTCCAGACGGCCGCAGAATTGCATTTGAAAGCGCCGCGCAATGCGGTGACCACCGCCTTTGTTCGATGGGGAACGCACGCACACACACGCACAACACAGCACACGCACAACACAACACACACGCACACAACACACGCACGTACACAACACACGCGCACACAACACACGCGCACACAACACACGCACGTACACAACACACGCACGCACAACACACGCACGTACACAACGCACAACACACAACACATGCACGCAACACACGCACGCAACACACGCACGCTCACCTCTCGGCGTCGTGGAGGATGACCTGTTCGTCATTGCCTGCAACGGAGACACAAGCGATGCCTGTCAAGACGACGGACAACGGCGATCCGCCAAAACCTCGACGCACCCGAGAACGCGTTGTGACGACGACGGGGGGCGGCCAACGCTCGGATTTGAACTCCAAAACTCAGGACAGTAACACTGCGTGGCCTTAAACAACAAAAATTCGAAAATAAACAGGTGACGTTTCGGGCAGCTGCCCTTCATCAGCACACCTCGTGAAAGACTTGACGCACAGGATCCCTGAGAAAGGCAGACAAAGGCGGCCGGGCATGATGCGGGCCACCCGCCCGCCCCCCTCGTGTGCCGTGCCGACCTTCATAGGCGCTCGCGAACAGCACTTGCCCCAAGAGCCTGCTAAGGCTACAGGGAGACCTCTGTCTTTGTGTGTGTGGAGGAGGCCCGTGAAGGACGCTACTGGTCAGTTGGAGGCAGTCGCCTTCCAACAACAACAACGGAGGGCAGAGGAGCGACGCTCACAACGAGTGGAGCGCCGGGCGGCTAAAATGCAGCAAACGGGCAAGGGGGCACAGGTGGTGCATCCACCACTCATCTCAGTCAGTCGACCCATGGCACCTGCTGGGTCTCTCCCGAAACTTCACGTGGCCTCAAAGTGCACCTGGCCTGGCAAAGGTGCCGTGGTGACATCACTGCCACCTAGTGGCGAATAGCGTGTCCGTGTGTCCCGTGCCGGTCTCCTGCGAGAGCCCGGACATGTTTGGTCACCGGCTGAGAAGATGCGTTTGTTGTCAGAGGTGAAGGCCAGGCAGAAGATATTTGAGTGGTGTTCCCCGGTCATGGGCACGGGCTGGCCCATGCCGTGCACCGCTCGCTCCACATCCCAGAGCAGCACGCGCCGGTCATCTCCACCTGCTCTCACAGACGCAACCATCCCACGCCGTCACCTACACGCTCGCACGGCCGCACCCCCGTCTACGCACCGCTACAAGACAATGACCCCCCCCCACCCCCCGTGTAGCCTTAAGAGACCCATGAAGGCCGGCACAGCACACGAGGGGGGGTCGGTGGCTAACGCCACGCCCACAACCGGGTACTCATTTGAGGCCGAGTCCACCTAGGGGAGGCCCAGAACTGGTTCAAATATTCGCCGCCGTTGTTGATCGCGAGCGGGAATCGAACTGGGGTCGCCGAAGTTCCTAGCGAAGCGCGCTAAGACCATTGCGCTACCGCTCCTCACTTGTGCACCCGCACGCTCACCCGCACGCTCACCCGCACGCTCACCCGCACGCTCACCCGCACGCTCACCCGCACGCTCACCCTCGCGCTCACCCGCGCGCTCACCCGCGCGCTCACCCTCGCGCTCACCCACGCGCTCACCCGCGCGCTCACCCGCATGCCTGTTTGCTCACTCACTCCACTTCCACTGCAGTCCTTCGTATTTCCTCAATAGGTTAATACCTGGCAATGCATATACATTATCTGTCTATCTGGGTTAGTTTGGATCTCCGTGTAAGTCTGCAGGGCGTCTATGCATCACTGTTTTATTCGTGCTCGTTGACCCGGCAAAGCCTTGCAAGAGTCTCAAGACTTATTTTCAGGAGGGTCCTGACGAGTTTTCACAGCAAGGGGCGATGCCGATGCTGCTGCTGTGTGTGTGATCCCAACGGAGTAATTTGCAGGCAATCTTTGGATCACTGGGATATTTTGGCCAATTTACAGTGTGTGTGTGTGTGTGTGGGGGGTTGGATATGGGAGGAAACCGGAGAAACCTGAGGAAATTCATGCAGAATATAAGGAGAGAATACAAACTCCACTCTCACAAACTTCCACTCTCTCACAAACTCCACTCTCTCACAAACTCCACTCTCTCACAAACTCCACTCTCTCACAAACTCCACTCTCTCACAAACTCCACTCTCTCACAAACTCCACTCTCTCACAAACTCCACTCTCTCACAAACTCCACTCTCTCACAAACTCCACTCTCTCACAAACTCCACTCTCTCACAACCTCCACTCTCTCACAAACTCCACTCTCTCACAACCTCCACTCTCTCACAAACTCCACTCTCTCACAACCTCCACTCTCTCACAAACTCCACTCTCTCACAAACTCCACTCTCTCACAAACTCCACTCTCTCACAAACTCAACTCTCTCACAAACTCCACTCTCTCACAACCTCCACTCCCTCACAATCTCACTCATACTCACTGCAGAACCGGGGGAGGAATTGAACCCAGGAGCTTATTGCTGTGTGGTACGAGTTATTAACACTGCGCCACCACCCCGCCAATGCCACGTGAGTCCAGAGCGTGGTTCACCACTTCGTGTATCGGTTATTGCGCTGCGCTACGGACCCGGCGACCCGAGTTTGACTCCCACTCAAGCCTAACATCAGTGACGATTATCTGAACCGGTCCTGGGCCTCTCCCCTAGGTCGACTCAGCCTAGCATTAGTTCCTGGTGTGATGTGTATTAAACATCAGCACGGGGGAGACAAAGGCAGCCAGCCGTGCGTGCTGCCGGCTGCCCACCCTCCTCCTCCTGCCGTTGTAGCCTTTACAGGTGCTGCTACTCGCGAACAGCACTTGCCCCAACAGTCTGTTAAAGGCTATACGGGGGATTTTTGGCTTCATCGCCGCTTCGAGGCGCCTCCTTCTCGGTGGTTCTGGGCTAAATATAAAGACGGCCCCACATTCTATGCCATGCGTGTACGTCTATGCTGCACGCACATTTGCACTGCATGTAATATACTGCTGCACCTGCACTGCACTATTACATTTCCCACGCACGATGCCAATATGTCCACGAGCTAAACGCCAATGTCTGGATCTGCTGGCCACGACGAGAGAGCTTCAGCAGTGGGCGAGTTCGTGTGGTGCTGCTGTTCCTTCTCTGTTCATGGAGCGCAGATCACAGTGGGTTCCCTGTGGGGGTCTGTAGGTTGGGTTGCATGGCCACAATCACACAACTGTGGCTTGTGTCTTTCATGCATCACAATGACTCTCTATGGGTCTATACGTGATGCGATCTCTATGTGATCGCTATGTGATCTCTATGGGTCTATACGTGATCTCTGTGAGCTCTATGTGATCTCTATGTGATCTCTATGGGTCTATACGTGATCTCTGTGAGCTCTATGTGATCTCTATGTGATTTCTATGTGATCTCTATGTGATCTCTATGGGTCTATATGTGGTCTATACGTGATCTCTATGGGTCTATATGTATCTCCATGCGATCTCTGAGTTTACGATGTGGTCCACAGTTTGGGTTGCATGGCCACAATCACACTTGCCAAGTGCCTTGTATTTCAACCTATATGTGCAGGCTCGTTGAACTTCTTTCGCACCGTACGTAGCCACCCGTGCTCATGGGAGGTGCGGGAGCCACGTGGATGTGCGTCTCGCCCTGCTGATGTTTCGCGCGATACCACAAACACGCCGCGCGCTCCCGCACGGCGCTATCCATGCACGTCGACGTTTCGCACCGCACGTCCACCTCGGTGGACTGTACGCACCGTACGCGCACCGTACGTGCACCGTACACGGACTGTACACGCACTGTCCAAACTCGGGGGTTTGTTTCCCGAAGCGAGCCGCTGCCACCAGCACCACTACGACCACCACCACCAATCACCACCATCACCACAACCACACTATCACCAGCACCACTATCACCACTATCACCACCACTACACTATCACCACCACCACTATCACCACCACACTATAACCACTACAACACTATCATCACCACCACCACCACACTATCACGACCACTATCACCACCACCACTATTACCACCATCACACTATCACCACCACCACTATCACCACCAGCACTATCACCAGCACCACCACCACACTATCACCACCACTATCACCACCACCACCACTATCACCAGCACCACAATATCACCACCACCACACTATCACCACCACCACTATCACCAGCACCACTATATCACCAGCACCACAATATCACCACTACCACACTATCACAAGCACCACCACCACCACTATCACCACCACCACACTATCACCACCACACTATCACCACCACCACCGCTATCACCACCACACTATCACCACCACACTATCACCACCATCACCACCACCACTATCACTACCACACCATCACCACCACCATCACCACCACCACACTATCACCACCATCACCACCACCACCACCACACTATCACCACCACCACTACCACTATCACCACCACTACCACTATCACCACCACCACACTATCACCACCACCACACTACCACCACCACACTACCACCACCATCACCACCATCACCACCACCACCATCATCACCACACTATCACCACCACCATCACCACACTATCACTATCACCACCACCATCACCACCACCACCATCACCACCACCACCACCACTATCACCACCACCATCACCACCACCATCACCACACGGCTCGTTGGGGAGCGTGCGGTTACTGCACGCGCACAGCACTGTACACACCGCAACGTACTGTACACGGTGGCGCACTTACACTGTACCCCGCACGACGGCGCACTGTACGCAGTATAACTGCACGCAGCGGCTCGCCGCAATGCACTGTACACACTGTCCCTCGCTGTAACGTTACACACTGTACACTCTCTCGCTGTAACGCCACGCACTGTACACACTGTCTCTCGATGTAACGTCACGCACTGTACACACTGTGTCTCGATGTAACGTTACGCACTGTACACACTGCGGCCCGCAGCGCCGCGTACTGTACGCAGTAGCCATCTGCAACGCACCACTGTACCCCCGGCGAAAACGGTGCACTGTACACACTGTACCACCCCCCCCCGCGGCGACGTCACGAGCGGCGCACACTACACACCGCGACGCACTGTACACACCGCGACGCACTGTACACACCGCGACGCACTGTACACGCCGTGTGTGTGTGCGTGCCCGTGTGTGTGTGCGCGTGCCACTGTCGCCGGCTCAAGCCCCGCACCTGACACGAGCCACGACCCGGCCCCGCACGAGAACTCGACGGCGTTGACGCAGCCGAAGTGTCCGCGCAGCTCGCGGTGGAAGAGGCCGCGAGCCCTGGCGAGGCGCGACGCCTGCAGGCGGCGACGCAGCGCCGCCGCCTCCTCGCCGCCCGCCCTGCGGCGCCGCTCCACGAAGCGAACGGCGCCGAGCATCGCCCCTCATGGGCGGGCGGAGACGCCGCCTCCGCTAGGCCCTGCCGTGCTGCTGCTGCTGCTGCCGCTGCCGCCGCTGGTAACGGCGGTAGGTTTTATTTTATTTAACAATGGCGATTGGGCGTGTTAATATATAAATATATATTGTGTGTTATGTTGACGAGTTCGCGCCGCGTCTACCGCGACGCCGCCGCCACCGCTCGCCTCCTCGGCCCGGTGTGAGGGGCCCAACCGTGCCCCGGATGTGGATGCGTGACCCACGACGGTGGGACTCCTCCCCCTCCAGCCACAACAACCACCCCCCTCTTTCCCCCCACCCACCCACCCCCCTCTTTCCCCCCACCCACCCACCCACCCACCCTCCCCCCTCTTTCCCACCCACTCACCCACCCACCCTCCCTCTTTCCCCCCACCCACCCACCCACCCTCCCCCCTCTTTCCCCCCACCCCACCCTCCCCCTCTTCCTCCCCCACCCACCCACCCACCCTCCCCCCTCTTTCCCCCCACCCACCCACCCTCTTTCCCCCCACCCACCCACCCACCCTCCCCCCTCTTTCCCCCCACCCACCCACCCACCCTCCCCCCCTCTTTCCCCCCAGCCCACCCACCCACCTCTTTCCCCCCACCCACCCACCCACCCTCCCCCCTCTTTCCCCCCACCCACCCACCCCACACCTCCCCCCTCTTTCCCCCCCACCCACCCACCCTCCCCCCTCTTTCCCCCACCCACCCTCCTCTTTCCCCCCACCCACCCACCCACCCTCCCCCCTCTTTCCCCCCACCCACCCACCCTCCCCCCTCTTTCCCCCCACCCACCCTCCCCCCTCTTTCCCCCCACCCACCCACCCTCCCCCTCTTTCCCCCCACACACCCACCCTCCCCCTCTTTCCCCCACCCACCCACCCACCCACCCTCCCCCTTTCCCCCCACCCACCCTCCCCTCTTTCCACCCACCCACCCTCCCCCTCTTTCCCCCACCCACCCCACCCTCCCCCTCTTTCCCCCCACCCACCCACCCACCCCTCCCCCTTTCCCCTCACCCACCCACCACCCTCCCCCTCTTCCACCCACCCTCCCCCTCTTTCCCCCCCACCCACCCACCCACCCTCCCCCTCTTTCCCCCCACCCACCCTCCCCCTCTTTCCCCCCACCCACCCACCCACCCTCCCCCTCTTTCCCCCCACCCACCCACCCACCCTCCCCCTCTTTCCCCCCACCCACCCACCCTCCCCCTCTTTCCCCCCACCCACCCACCCACCCTCCCCCTCTTTCCCCCCACCCCACCCCACCCACCCTCCCCCTCTTTCCCCCCACCCACCCACCCACCCTCCCCCTCTTTCCCCCCACCCACCACCCACCCTCCCCTCTTTCCCCCCACCCACCCACCCACCCTCCCCCTCTTTCCCCCCACCCACCCACCCACCCTCCCCCCTCTTTCCCCCCACCCACCCTCCCCCTCTTTCCCCCCACCCACCCACCCACCCTCCCCCTCTTTCCCCCCACCCACCCACCCACCCTCCCCCTCTTTCCCCCCACCCACCCACCCACCCTCCCCCTCTTTCCCCCCACCCACCCACCCACCCTCCCCCCTCTTTCCCCCCCACCCACCCACCCTCCCCCTCTTTCCCCCCCACCCACCCACCCACCCTCCCCCTCTTTCCCCCCACCCACCCACCCACCCTCCCCCTCTTTCCCCCCACCCACCCACCCACCCTCCCCCTCTTTCCCCCCACCCACCCACCCACCCTCCCCCTCTTTCCCCCCACCCACCCACCCACCCTCCCCCTCTTTCCCCCCACCCACCCACCCACCCTCCCCCTCTTTCCCCCCACTCACCCACCCACCCTCCCCCCTCTTTCCCCCCACTCACCCACCCACCCTCCCCCCTCTTTCCCCCCACCCACCCCCCTCTTTCCGCCCACCCACCCCCCTTTCCCTCCAGCCACCTACCCCCCTCTTTCCCCCCAGCCACCCACCTCCCACCCCCCTCTCTCACCTCCCCCCCCCCCCCACAACCACCTTCCCCTCCCACCAGAATCAACCCTCAGTGCTGTGGGTGCCGTGCGGGGTGCCGTGCGGGGTGCCGTGCCGTCATTCATCACGACAGGAGCCAGGCACGACCATTTACACGATCCATTTATTCCACGCGGTAGTAGTTGTCACTCAAATCGTAGCATCATCATCATCATAATCTTCGACACCTCCCTGTCCACATTAAGACATTTACAAATAATATACAGCAGTTTCTATAAAACAGCCCGTGCATTGCAAAACGAGAAGACAAACCAAAGACGGGTATATATATACACTTATATATGTGTATATAAGTATATATAAGCCATCTCAGAATGGATTCCTTTGCTTTTGCAACCAACTCCTCTTCCTCCTCCTTCCTGCCATTCCAAAATAACTCGGAGGGATTCACAATCGGTTCCCTTGGGGTCAAATCCAGGCGATTAGGTCCGATAAACCAATTGTGTGGAAGCCTACGGGATTAAAACTCAAAGAGATAACGCAATAAGTTATTTACACAAAGCTGTAGTTCACAAAAAGCCCTATTGAAAGTGTATTTTTTTTTACAGTTTGTGAAACGTCGATTAAAATGGGTGCCTGTTTCTGTATTGCTTAAAGTCCAGACTGCCGAAATATTACAGCTTCAGACGGGATTTTTTTTTATCGAGTCTCAAATTCATTTAGGGCAGCGGTAAGGAACTTTACCCCTTACCGAGGGCCAAATAGGAATTTCAAACAGCTCTGTTGGGCAACCACACATCGCCAAAGACAAAGGTTCCGCCGTATAGCCTCAACAGACTTTAGGGGCAAGTGCTGTGAGCGAGCAACACCTACGAAGGCCGGCACTGTGGCACACTAGGGGGTGGGGGCGACAAGCACCACGCCCGGCCGTCTTTGTCTCCCCACTGATGACACACTACACCAGGTAATCATTTGAGGCCGAGTCGACCTAGGGGAGGCCCATGACCGGTTCAAATAACCGTCATTGACGTTGGTGGCCGTGAGCGGAAATCGAACTCGGGTGGGCAGTTTCGTAGCGCGGCGCGCTCACCGCTGCGCCACCGCTCCCCACCACCACGCACCTCGGCTACTCGAAGAGGCCCTTGGCTGTGACAGGGGCGGCCGAGTACGGCGCTAAAGCGATGAAAGACGGTTTACAACTCAACACGGAGGCTTTTGTAGCCGAAACGAGGATCCAGATTCGATTTTTGGATGAGGCCATGGTGGTGGTGGTTCATGCCACATTTCCTGTGAATGGCCCTCCTCTCCACCACCCGACGAGACTGTGCGATGTTTACACAGGTATTGTTTACACAGGTTTTGTTTACACAGGTTTTGTTGAGACGCGCCAATGTGTCGATTACATTGTCGCGCAACCTGGCTGCAAGGCTTCTTCATTAACGGACTTGAACACCGAGGTGAGAGTAACGTCGCGTGTTGATGTTGGAATTCAGCGAAAAGTGTTTGACAGCGAGGTGCTGAACAGGTCACTCACTAACCTAAAAATATCTTGTATGCAAAGCTCCTGCTGCACATTTCTACGATATGCATAGAAAGGATTATCGTCTTAATAGTCTGTTCATTATTATATTCACGTCATCAGTATAACTTCCAGCCGGCAAGTTTATTCTAAATAATTTATAGTAATGCTATATACATATATAAAGCCAATATATATTTCTTAAATTTAATTTTACATTTCTGAATGTTCATAATGGCCGTGTCAGAGATGCCGATCCGGCACCCCTGAGAAACTGTTTGAATCCGATTCCCCACTCGCACACTCGAGCAAAGCTAGAATGGAGGCCCTTTGCCAGCGGCTTTTGGCTGGCCATCGAACAAAGACGGTCACCGCATCGCGCGCTCTCAAATGAGCTTCTGCGACCGTCTGGAACGCTCTCCCTTCCGATGTTAGGAAGCCACTGGAGCTATACACTTTTAAATCTAAATTGAAAACTAATTTCTTCAGAACTACGTTTTGCGTTTATTCTGTTGTCCTTGCTCCGCACCTCCGATTAGCATGGTTGGCTACGTACGATGCGAAAGAAGTTCAACGTACACACATTACGGTACAGGTGGTTTTTCCACCGACTATATGCCGATCCGAGCCAGAACCAAACCGTGAAAGGCTTCCCTCGCATGCCACCTGAATTTGGCTCGGGGCCACGCGGCGGGGGCTTACGCCGCGTTCACTGTGCGCTACCCGAGCAGCACGGGTCGCCTCCCGCAGTGGAAAACCACCTGGTGCCACCTGGGCCACGTCAGGCTGGCTGGGCACGGCTCGGTTTGGTTGTACGGTGGTGGAAAATAGGTCGTAGAAGTGGGCAAGCGAAACGTCCTCTTCCGCTTTGACCAATTTGGAACTTGTTCATTCGTGGCACTTGGATGTTCGGGATTGCGAGCAGCAGCAATGATGAACACCGCGGAACCTCTTGGGACATCCGAATGAGCGCGCGAGAGGCTCCGGCCTTTGCCAGTGGGGCCACAGCCACCTTCGATGACGTCGGCGAGACTGTCGGCAGCCCACGGCAGCCTCTCCGCGAGAGCGACGCGAGACAGATCGGGACGCTGCGGCTCCCCAGCAACCATTTTCAAAGATGCACAAGGACTGAGACAATTGAGCTGATGGATTAATCGAAAGGCAGTCGTCGTTTCCTTTTCATTGTGGTCGATAACTGGGCCCCACCCCTTTAAAAATAGCGGCCACGTTCCGTGACGCAGCTGTTCGTGCCGATCGACGTCGCCGAGCCTCGCCCGTCCATCACCTCCCGTCCAGCGGCACATGTGGGGAAACTTGCCCCACCCCCCACCACGTCGTTTCAACGGCCGCGCCGGAAGATCAAACTGGTGGCCTGTAGATTTCAAGTCCAGTGCGCTATCCATTACACCGCCACTGTAGCATCCTTAAGCAAATATATATACACACACACACACGCGCGCGCTAGCGCAAGATGAGCAGGACCGCACCCCTGTACACGTGTGCAATGGCACTGCCATTCCCAAACACCGCTCGGCAGGGGCGGTTTCTGCGCTGCGTGAACTCCCGGAACCACCCCGAGGCGAACCTTTCCCTTGCTCTTGTTGTATTTAGCGCAAATACCCCTCATATTTACACCGACAGTTTACACCTCCAGCCGCGTATTCCGTTTACCTGCTTTGCATATAACAGTCGCAACGCAAACGGGAAGGGCGTTTATTGTTATTATTTTTTTAAAGTGCCAACAACAACCCTGCCTCCGTCTTGCATATTGTATCGTTACGCCGGGCCACTCGCAAACGCGACAGCAGATGGAGGGTGGGGGGCGGGGAAAGCCGCAGTCTTTGCGCTAAAAGTTCTCTCTCCGCGTGTCCCCCGTCTCTCTCGATCGCTTTCTGTGGCACGGCAAGGCCCCGTGCCCTCGCCGCCACTAGGAGGTCTCCACCGACGCAAGAGCCCCGAGGCCTCGGCACGGTTTCACCGGCCACAGGTGACGGTGCAGCGCTGCTGGCGGCGAGAGTGAATTTGGCGAACGGGGTGTTCGCAAGTCCCCGCGTAACTTTGTTTTTGCATCCGTTGTCAGGCGCGCCACACGCGCGCGTAGACGTGCGTGCGCGCGTAAGCACGCGAGCCCTGCAGACGCCCGGCATTAGCCGCAATCAAAGTAAATCGGAACGAGATCGGCGGCCGCACGGGTTCCTAACGGGCCGCACGCGTCCCTCGCGGCCGCGTCTCAGCCGCCTCGTGGTTGAACGGGACGGGGGGGGGGCCCCGCCCATTTGCCCCGCGTAGCGATTCCCGACGGGTCTTTTGCGCGGCAGGATCGCCGACGGCTGCAAGGGAAAACCAGTTGAGTACGAACGATATTGAATAATGATGATAATAAATACGGCCTAGTTCGGTTGCGGAGGCTGAAACTCGCACAAAAACAAATGGGGGGGGGCAGGGCCGACCGTGAATTCTTTACAGAGCGGTGCGGGTGAAAAGTTCCTTCCGAGAGGGGGATTCCGATGGACGTGGTGCGGGGAAGGGGGGTTCTCCGTGGCGTTGTCCTCCGGCAGCCGTTGCCGCGCCGTCGAGGTGCCGAGCGCGCTCGCGGGCGTGGAGAAGAATGAACCACGCGGCAACCGCGCCCAAGAATAACCGCCGCCGTCAAAAACACCGCCGCCGCCGCCGCCGCCGTTCTGTAACGTAGAGGCCGACACCAGCGGTCCCTTTTTCCCCATTTATAATAGCGACAGAGTCGCTCTGCGTCGTGTGTGACGGGAAGCCAGGCGAGCTGGAGAGAACCCAAACCGTCCGCACAGACGGGTTCACAATCCCACTTGCTGCACGGCCATCTACGAGGCCAACCCTCACAGCCCACGTGGGTTTGGGATGAACCGCGTGCCCTGCCGGCGACTGCGCTCGGTCCGCAGGCGTGCGCTGCCGTGCCCCGCTCGATTACGCTCGACTCTCGACTTCTCCCAAGGCCTGGAAGTGAGGGGAAGGTGGCCTGGATAACGGATTCGCCGTTTGGCTACGCAGAGTGCAGGAGGTGTTTACCCAGCAGAGTTTGGGGTTTGCCGTCACGAGGGCGCCAAGAGTGAAGTTTCCCCCCCCCCCCTCGCCCTCCAGCCCTCTCCACCCGACGAGCGAGGTGCTGCTCGCAATGAAGCCAGGGCGTGCGCGTCAAGATTGCTATTCACTTTTTGGCAAGGTGGGCTAAATCCGCAGCCCACGGTAATCCGCTCACGGATTATCGGGAGTAAACCGGCGCTCCTGTTTTCCCAAGCCCACCGCGAGGGGGTGTGAGAGCCAGAGGGTGAGCAGGCGTGCGAGAGCGTGCCCCTTCACGGAGCGAGATCTACGACGAGGTAAAGGTGCAGCCCTACAATTTTATTTCTCGTGCTACTGCTGGCAGGGATGGGATTGTCCTCCACCGGAGGGAGCCCCAGACACGTGAGGAGAGGTCTGTGTACTCACACTTTACCCCACCACAACGGCCGCCCGTCGACTAACCGTGGTGAACCCATCTTTGCTTCTGGGTGGCGTTAACTGCCGCGCCGGGAGATGGAATGGAATTTGGTGACCCCTGGATCGCAAGTCGAGCGCGCTAACCGTTACACCAGCGTGACAGCATCGCGAGAGATCTAGGACTCCATCGGAACGATAAAATAGCAATCGGCGCCCCCTGCTGACAGACCCACAATGATGCCACAGGGGCCACTCTTGCGAAAGAGACTCCTTAAATTTTATACGCGTCGAGCGCCGTCACTTCAAGGCGCCTCTCCTCGCACCTGGTCAAACAAAACAAAGGTGGAGACTTGACACGCAGTCGTCAACCCCCCCTCCACGTTGGCCGCGGCTCTGTCTTCTCCACGACGTCCGGCCACGAGCACCGCCACCATCACCATGACGACGACTCACACCTTGGTCCCGTAGCCCTGCTGGTATGACGACGGTGCGTGGGCCCGGCCGCCATACCAGTGCTGCTGCTGCTGCTGCTGATGTCGCTGCTGATGATGATGCTGCTGCTGATGCTGCCGCGCCTCCATCTCGGAGAGCAGCGCGCGGCGGTAGTCCTCGTAGGAGCGCACCACCTGCTCCAGCTCCTTCATGTAGAGCAGCATGAGCATGCTCTGGTACGTGTCCAGCTCCGACACCTGGAAGAGCTCCCACTTGAGCTTGTGGTCGTACCTGCGCGCATGGCGGAGCGGGAAGGGTTAGGCGAGGTTGAGGTGGCGGCGGCGAAGGTGACGGTGGAGATCATCGGCAGTGGTCGTGACGGCGTAGCTGGCGCCGGCGGAGAAGGTGCTTGCGGTGGCGAACATGGTGGTGGTCGTGACGATGGTGGTTGGTTGTGATGGTGGTACGGGTGGTTGGTGGTGGTGGTGATAATGGTACAAGTCGTGAAGGTGGTGGTCACCGTGCGAGCAAACGACCGAGGGCGCGAGCAAACGAGCGAGCGTACATCAGCGCAAAACGATGGATCGATCGATTGGGCGAGCAATACTTCATACGCGCGGGCGAGCGCCCAAACGGACGTGCGAGAGCGCGCCATCCTGCCAGTGAACGACCGCGGCAGCGCGCGAAAGTGCCGTCCGCCACGGACAAACAAACGAGCGAGCTCTTACTCGTGCGGGGCGTGCGCGTACACCAGCAGCCACTCGGGGATCTCGGCGCTGTGGTAGGGGTTGGCCGGCACCAGCACCGGCTGGCTCCGCACCGGCGGCTGGGCGTTGTAGAGCATCGGGGGCAACGCGCGCATGGGCGGAGGCTGGTCGTAGCGCAGGATGCTGCGGAGCAACGACAGAGCACGACGGCGGTGGTTACGCGAACGTCGCAAACCAAAGTTGCGTTCTCCCTTGCTACTTTGTTGTTGCTGACCAATTATTATTATTATTTCGCTCGTTCACCTCGGAAAGCCTCACACTCAGGACCAATTTTCAGGAGGGTCCTGTCAAGTTTTCACAGTAGGGGGCGACGCTCCTGCTGTGAGTGACCCCAACGGAGTAATTTGTCGGTGATACTTCAGCAGTATGATGTTTGCTCAATTCCAGTCACATTGTGCGAGTGTGTGTGACTGCGATTGTGTGTGTGTGCGAGTGCGTGTGTGCGAGGGGGCTAAACGGGCGCGGCACGGGCTAGAGAAGAGATGGAGTGATGTGGTACAGGAGGACGTGGAGCTGAGTGGACTTGCCGATGACTGGTACCAGCAGTGTCAAGATCGGCCTCTGTGGAGGAGGCTCGTGAAGGACGCTACTGGGCAGTTGGAGGCAGTCGCCCTCCAACAACAACGGAGGGCGGAGGAGCGACGCTCACAACAACGAGCGGAGCGCCAGGTGGCTAAAGCACAGCAGGTTGGCACAGTAGGGGGCACAGGTGGTGCATCAGCCAGCCATCTCAGTCATCTTAGTCAGCCGACCCGTGGCACTTGGGTCTGCCCCGTGACCTCCTGCCAGCAGGCGTTCGACACTTCATGTGGCCTCAAGGTGCACATGGCCTGGCACAAGCGTCGTGGTGACGTCACCGCCACTTAGTGGCGAATGGCGGTTGTTGTTGTTGTGATTGTGTGTGCGAGTGTGTGCGTGTGCGAGTGTGTGCGTGTGCGAGTGTGTGTGTGTGCGTGTTTTTGTAGCTGTGGGAAGAAACTGGAGAAACCCGGAGCGAGCCCACGCAGAACAGGGAGAGAACAAACAAATTCCACTGCACTCACGCAAACACACAAACACACTCTCATTCACACTGCGTCGAACCGGGGGAAAACAGACAAACTCCACGCGGATCGAAACAAAGCCCTTGTTGCGGCGAGGCACGAGGTGTTACCAACCCGGAGCGGCTCCCGTGGGGGGGTGAGGCCCGAGTAGCTCTCGACAGCCCTCTGCCCAACGGCGAGACCTTGGCTCAAACCAGAGTGGTTAATTTACTTGTGTGTTAGCCTCGCCGATGGATCGCAAGCAAACAGAAAACGATAGCAAAACGACTGTCGGCTTGCCGCACAGACCGAAGGAATGGCTAACAATGAAAATAAAGTGCAGCCCTGTGTGTGTGTATGTTTGTCACAGGTGGTGCATCAGCCAGTCATCTCAGTCAGTCAACCCATGGCACCCGAGTCTGCCCCGTGACCTCCTGCCAGCGGGCGTTCGACACTTCACGTGGCTTTAACGAGCACATTTCTTGGCACAAGCGCCTTGGTGACGTGTTAACAGTCATAACAACGCCACCAACAACATACACAAACCCCACTAACAAACACCATCACCTCAACCGTACCAACAAATCCACTGATGACCACCACCATAACACCATCACCAAATACAAAGATCCCCCGTATAGCCTTAACAGACTTTTGGGACAAGTGCTGTTAGCGAGCACCTATGAAGGCCGCCTTGTTCTCCCTAGTGGCGATGTTTTTACGCACCACACCAGGTACTCATTTGAGGCTCAGTCGACCTAGGGGTGGCCCAGGACCGGTTTAATAATCGTCACTGATCTTGGCCGTGAGCGGGAATCGAACTCGGGTTGCCAGGTTCGTAGCGCAGCGTAGCGCTAACCGCTGCACTGCCGCCCCCCCACACAAGTGAACACACACGCGCACACACTCGTTTTACGTCGGAGCGGACCTAGGTGCACAAGGGTGGCGGTACTGCGCCTTGCGGTTGACGTGGTCCACGTAGTAGAGGCCGAACTCGGGCGACTCGACGCGCTCCCAGCCCGGGGGCAGGCCCTCCCTCTCCAGCGGGTGGCTCCAGTGAGTGGTGTTCGTGTTGTGGTCAATGTAGTACCTGGAAGGGGGCACAGCAAACACAAACCTGTCAACCCAGTACCCTACCTAGTAACAGGCCAATTCAGACCTTGTTGGTCGCCCCGTGCCCCTTATAGATCTCAACGTTCACCCAACAAAGTCCCAACACCAGGGAGAAACACAAACAAATAGACAATAACCACTACTACGCTCACCACTAGTACATTTATCACTCACCACTTGTACGCTCACCACTAAACCTGTTAACCCGTGATCATTGCCCTACCTTATTACAGACCAATTCAGACCTTGTTGGTCACCCCGTGCCCCTTATAAATCTCAACGTTCACCCAACAAAGTCCCAACACAAGGAAGAAACACAAACAAAGGCATTTTTTTTTCCCATAATGAAACGGCTGTGCGCCCTATGGACCTGAAAATTTTATTTGCCTGTACAAGAATACGGGGTAAACCGTACGGGATGACAGTGATGTAAACACCAACACACCTGAAGACGACCGTTTGTGTTATGGTCGAAACGTCGTGAGAATTTTTATTGTTTTATATATATTTTATTATTTTGTTGTTTCCCTTCAATGTGACTTTACCGAAAGAACTAAGAATACCACCACTGCAGTTTACCATTTCCCTGTTCCGATGACGGATGTAAAAGGCCACACGAGGGAGGTTACGCGTGGCACAGTTTGGCACCAGCTATCACGGAGTGTGGTCCTGTCACTACAGTTCTCTGCGGTGAGTTACAACGTCTTGAAAAACAGCGGCACAACTACGCCTCTCTAAATAAAATAAACGCTGAACCCGCTCGCGCGTTCCGAGATCGGGCGGTGAACAGGACACCCACCACCCTGCTGACGTCTCCACGGCACGAACTGCAGCGTCCTCACCTGCGCCCGCGGATCGTCCAGTCCACCGTCCAACCCGGCGGCAGCGGGAGATCGTCGGGACCTGGCGGACCGGCCGAGCCAGGCGGCGGCAGCTGCTGCTGTTGCTGCTGCTGGGAAGCAGAGGCCGCCGCGAGGCTTCTCACCGACTGGGTGCTCACGACCGAGCGAGGTTGCCCTGTGAGAGAGGAGGACGTCAATAAACAGGGCAGTCCATCAGCCCACCAGGCCCCCAGCCCACCAGCCCACCAGTCCATTAGCCCACCAGCCCATCAGCCCCCAGCCCACCAGCCCACCAGCCCACCAGGCCCCCAGCCCAACAGCCCGCCACTCGACGAACAGTCAGGTCGGAGGTGCGACAGTGACATCTGCGACTCCGTACGGCAAATCCCTTGTTATTCGCAAACTCGCTGTCCATGATTTTGGCTGTCTGCGAAGAGCATCTGGAACTCTACATGACTACTGTATCAAGAGAGAGAAAGAAAGTGATGGGATTAAGCGATGAGAGAGAATGTTTCATGAGAAAGTGAAGAGATACGTGATGAGAGAGCTATTATGATAATTTATGTATTTAATAACTTATTAAGTATTTACTTAAAGTAATTCATAAAAAAAAAGTATCCCTCGTCGCGAATAACGAGGGAATGCTGCAAGGCACTTCCGTCACAGGGCCGTAGGCTGCCGGCGTACCTTGCTGCGGCCTGCGCTGCGCGGCACCGGGCCCCCACCGCGCCTGCACGCCGTACGGGTCGCCCGCCGGCCCCACGGCGCCGGCGGAGGCGCCGTACTGCTCCGCCGGCTGGTAGGCCTCGCTGTAGGCGCCGCCGCGGTAGTCGTCCTGGTAGGGGTCGGGCGGCACGCGCCGGTGCGTCTGCGGCGCCGGCTGCTTCTGCGGGCCCTCGTCGGCGTAGTAGGGGTCGGCGGGGTAGAGGTAGTGGGCACCGTCGGAGCCGTTCTCTCCCTGCTGGTCGGCGGCGACGTAGTCTGAATCGCACGCGAAGCACGGGGTCACGGGGGCCGCCACTCAAACGTTCGTCTGTGGTGTGGGGTGATTGGCCGGGTGGCCAAGGTTGCCGCGGTGGCTATGAGATGTTAACTACCTCGCCTGGTATACAGCAGGTCGTGGGGTCGAACCCGACCCGGACGCCTGCTGCTGTCTATTTGGAGGTTGCGTGTCTCTCTCTCCCCGTGATATCGTTTAGAGTATTTGGTTGCTATACATTTCCACGTGATTAGCCACTTCGTTGAGTTATTGTTTGTGGCCAGGTCGCTTCTGAAAAAGAGCTTCATATCTCAGTGGGCTTTACCTGGTAAAATAAAAAAAAAGTTTCATTTAGGCTCCGAGGTCAGAGCTGTGAGCTGGCACCTTTAAGATCCTGGGTTCTGAACCCAGGTTTCAGCCACTTGTACGTATGCGCTGTATGTTGAACTTCTTTCGCACCATACGTAGCCAACGGTGCCAGTTGGAGGTGCGGGAAATAATAATTGTTTAATAATGATTTTGTCACTCTCGGATAAGGCTCGAGCGCCTTGATGTGATGCGGAGGCTTTCACGACCAAATATTATGATCCAAAATGAGTTTATTTTGGGTTAGATTGTCGTCGCGTAGTGTATCATGCCGGTTTGTCTTCACTGTAACCCTCCGCCACCCCAACAGAGCCAATCAAATCGCGTTGACACGTCGTAGGCAAATTTGCCCCGATCAATTGTTTTTTCAGCAAAAACGTTCATAAGCAAGCGGAATGTAAATATTTTTAGCTCCAAGTTTCGCCGGAGACTACACCCAGCGTCATCAGGCGGTGAACCTTACGTCGGACGAGCTCGCTCACGTCCCCGCCTCCCCGACAATGGAAAGACTTTGTGACACCACCGACCTGCCTCCTCCGCATGTCGCTGCTAATAGGCTATCCACAACGTATCCGTTACGATCGATTCAAGTAGATTTCTAACGATCGCCATGAAGCTGTGCGTCGCGCGCATAACACCGAATAATTTTTCAATCAATGAAATGTGAGCGTGCGTTTTATCGTTTTTCCCTCTGGCATCGGGGGTCACAATGAGAAAGATCATTTACATTTAGAGTACGGCTCTTTTGTCGATATTCTGCTGGTTGAGGGCCTATTCAATGCCGTGCAGGCCACAGGAGCTGTATGACCGTACTTCACCACGCTGCCCAGTGCAGACTGTACACGGGGAAGCGACGCTGTGGCACGGTTAATCAATGGATATTGGCAGCGCTGCCTTATGCCACGCACGGATCGGCCATCGCGTGCCGTCGTGACCATCCAAACTTGAAAAGTTACCCACAAATTACTCAATCGGGATCACACAGCAGCAGCAGCAAGCAGCATCGCCGCAACGTGCTACGAAAACTTGGCAGGAGACCTCCTGAAAGGAACCTTAACACTCAGCGAGGCTTTGCTGGGTAAACAAGCGTAATCTCAACAACAACAACAGCAGCAGCAGCAGCAGCAAAAACATAGCTCCACTGCAGCCTCGGACCGCCTGCTTTACGCACAACGGTCGCTCGCGAAAATCCAAGCGCCATGCAGGCCGGAACCTGCTTGGCTTCCGGCTCCGACAAGGTCGGGCGAATCCCAGGCCAACCCGTCATGGGCTTGTATCAGAAACTCTCTCACGATCACGTGCACGCGCGCACTCACGCCGTCGCCGTACAATCCTCTCCCCCGCCTCGCGAACTCACGCCGGCGCTCTCCTCACCGTACTCCCGCGGCGCCACCGCCGCCGCTCCATAGCTGTAGGCGCCGTGGGGGGGCGTCCGCCGGTGCTCCCGCCAGCCGCTCTCCGCGGCTTGGCCCCCCCTCAGGAAGCTGGTGTTCCGCGAGACGCCGGCGCCACCGCCGCCCGCGGACGACGAGACGACGGCGTTGCCGGCGCCGTCCTGGGCGCCGTAACCGGACGGTGCCGCGCCCGCCTCGGCACGCCGCGGAATGGTGGGGCCGTGCCGGATGAACGAGGGCATGAGGTCTGGGGGGGAGGGGGGGGTGGACGGGGGGGGCAGCACAAGCGAGAGAGACGCGCGCATTGGAAGCGCCGCAGCGGAGGAAGGAAAACCTTCGGCCTTCATTTTGCGCGGCAGGGCGGCTGGCGGCTGCGGAGACGCTCGTCCATCACGGCAAGAAGCGCCTGGGTTGGATCCCTGACACGGGCGCCCTGCCGTGTGGAATGTTCTCCCCCTGTTATCCGGGTTCTCTGGTCTTCCCGTAAATAACAAAAACCCACGCAATATGACGCCGGCTCATCGCGTGGCTGCTGCCTTCCCACCCCGTCTGCGGTTCTGCTGGACACCTGTGAAAAAGAGCTTTATAGCTCATCGGATTCTTCCAGTATAAATATTCTGATTCTGGACCCTCCTCGTGCCTCTAAGGTCGTTCTTTCTCTCTCTCTTCGAGAGCGAGGGGACACTGTGCGACGGCGCGTTACGCGTTGACTTTACCGTCGTGTTAACGCGAGGGAAGCAGACGCCGGCCATCGCATTCGCACGGTAAAGGCGAGCCGCTTCTCACGTGGTTTATCGGATAACGCCGTCTCGTAATGGCTGGTAGCCCACCAAAGGTCCCATTCGACTCCTCGGTAAAGTAAAGGTTCCACCCCCCCCGCCCCCACCCTGGCTCAGAGAACCATCGTCATCGCGGTGTGGGGCTGCTTGGTAAAGTTTGGTCAAGTAACCAGAGACCGTCATACAGCAGCGGATTGACAAAAGGTCTGTACGTGTGCATGGGAACATCTTACAAGTGCACCGTCGCACGGGCTTGTAGATGAACAAGGGTTTGGCTGACCGTGTGGGTTTGTGAACCCATCTGTGCGGACCTTTGAATCTCGTGGGTTCGATCCCGACCCTGACGCCTGCTGCTGTATATTTGGAGTCTGCGTGTCTCTCTCTCTCCCGCCGTGGTCGCGTGGAATAATCTCCGGGTCGTCCGGTTTTCCCTTCCGCATTTAGAATCAACATCACGCGTTTAGAGTATTCGGCCGCTGTAAATTTCCACATTTGTCATAACTAGGTCGCTTCTCAAAATATATATAGCTCAGTGGGTCTTCGTTGGTAAAATAATAATAATAAAGAGTTATAGCCACCTCCTCACGGTTCCTGCCACATGTAATTAAAACACACACATTGGCCGAACATCTGAGTGTGGGACTTTCTGAAAGTGTCCCTAGACTTTGGGGAGGCGTTCCTGTACAAATAAAAGACACGTTTATTGCAACAAAAATAAGCACATTGTTATTTAGACGTTAACCTGTGGTACAATACCACGTATCATGGAAAACACAAGCAGCACAATGCAACATACACAATGCCAAGACACACACAGGGTACAAACAGGAACACAACACGCGAAACACACAGTACGCACCGTAAATACAACGTAAATACAGAGCAAGACACGCAATCGACAACACAAGGCAGACCGTGTACATGTGCGATGAACGCAAACAGCGAACAGCCACAAACACCACTCGCACGAGACACACAAACAAACACAAACCCAACACCACACGCAAGCAGTCGACAGAAGCGCAGCGTAAACACAACACAAAAACACAACATACAAGTAGGGGAACAGACACACAATAGCAACACAACACAAGTTAACACACACAGACAATACCAACACAACACAAGTTAACACACACAGACACACAATAGCAACACAACACAAGTTAACACAGACACACAACACAAGTTAACACACACAGACACACAATAGCAACACAACACAAGTTAACACACACAGACACACAATAGCAACACAACACAAGTTAACACACAGACACACAACACAAGTTAACACACACAGACACACAATAGCAACACAACACAAGTTAACACACAGACACACAATAGCAACACAACACAAGTTAACACACACAGACAATACCAACACAACACAAGTTAACACACACAGACACACAATAGCAACACAACACAAGTTAACACAGACACACAACACAAGTTAACACACACAGACACACAATAGCAACACAACACAAGTTAACACACACAGACACACAATAGCAACACAACACAAGTTAACACACAGACACACAACACAAGTTAACACACACACAGACACACAATAGCAACACAACACAAGTTAACACACACAGACACACAATAGCAACATAACACAAGTTAACACACACATACACAATACCGACACAAGTTAACACACATACACATAATAACAACACAAGTTAACACACAGACACACAACACAAGTTAACAAACAGACACAATAGCAACACAACACAAGTTAACACACACAGACACACAATAGCAACACAACACAAGTTAACACAGACACAATACGAACACAACACAAGCTAACACACAGACAGACAATAGCAACACAACATAAGTTAACACACACATACACAATACCGACACAAGTTAACACACATACACACAATACAAACACAAGTTAACACACAGACACACAGCACAAGTTAACACACACAGACACACAATAACAACACAACACAAGTTAACACACAGACACACAATAGCAACACAACACAAGTTAACACACAGACACACAATACCAACACAAGTTAACACACAGACACACAATACCAACAACACAAGCCAAGACAGGCACACAATACCAACACAACACAAGTTAACACACACACACAATACCAACACAACACAAGTTAACACATACACAACACAAGTTAACACACAGACACACAATAGTAACACAACACAAGTTAACACACAGACACACAATACCAATACAACACAAAACAACACAGCCACACAATAGCAACACAACACAAGTTAACACACAGACACACAATAGTAACACAACACAAGTTAACACACAGACACACAATACCAATACAACACAAGCCAACACAGCCACACAATAGCAACACAACACAAGTTAACACACACAGACACACAATAGTAACACAACACAAGTTAACACACAGACACACAATACCAACACAACACAAGTTAACACACAGACACAATACCGACACAAGTTAACACACATACACACAATAACAACACAAGTTAACACACAGACACACAATAGCAACACAACACAAGTTAACACACACAGACACACAATACCAACACAACACAAGTTAACACACACACCACAAGTTAACACACAGACACACAATAGCAACACAACACAAGTTAACATACACAACACAAGTTAACACGCACACAATAGCAACACAACACAAGTTAACACACACACAATAGCAACACAACACAAGTTAATACACAGACGCACAACACAAGTTAACACACAGATACACAATAGCAACAACACAAGTTAACACACAGACACACAATAGCAACACAACACAAGTTAACACACAGACACACAATACCAACACAACACAAGTTAACACACACACAACACAAGTTAACACACAGAGACACAATAGCAACACAACACAAGTTAACACACATACACACAATAGCAACATAAGGTAACACACAATACCGACATAACATAAGTTAACACACAGACACACAATACCAACACAACAAGCTAACACACAGACACACAATATCAACACAACACAAGTTAACACAGACACACAATTGCAACGCAACACAAGTTAACACACAGAGACGCACAATAGCAACACAAGTTAACAAACACACAAGGCGCACATACCACAGGACACACACACACACACAAAATACACACACATAGAAAAACACACACGATACATTCGACACGTACACACGCAGGCCACATACACATACCGGACATACACAAGCCGCACAGAACACACACAACATACAAGCGACACAAACACACGACACACACAAGCCACACACACAACACAGACATACACAAGCCGCACAGAACACACACAACATACATGCGACAAAAACACACGACACACAAACCACACACACAACACAGACATACACAAGCCGCACATACGACAGAACACACACAACATACATGCGACACAAACACACGACACACACAGGCCACACACACAACACAGACATACACAAGCCGCACAGAACACACACGCCGCACAGAACACACACAACATACATGCGACACATACATACACAGGACACACGCACGTCACACACACACGACAGACACACACAAGACACACATACCACAGAACACACACAACATACATGCGACACAAACACACGACACACACAAGCCACACACACAACACAGACATACACAAGCCGCACATACCACAGAACACACACAACATACATGCGACACAAACACACGACACACACAAGCCACATACACAACACAGACATACACAAGCCGCACATATTACAGAACACACACAACATACATGCGACACAAACACACACAAGCCACATACACAACACAGACATACACAAGCCGCACATACCACAGAACACACACAACATACATGCGACACAAACACACGACACACACAAGCCACATACACAACACAGACATACACAAGCCGCACATATTACAGAACACACACAACATACATGCGACACAAACACACGACACACACAAGCCACATACACAACACAGACATACACAAGCCGCACATATTACAGAACACACACAACATACATGCGACACAAACACACACAAGCCACATACACAACACAGACATACACAAGCCGCACATACCACAGAACACACACACGAAACAGAGAAAAAACACACACGGGACACACACGCAACATACACGCGACACATACATACACAGGACACACGCACGTCACACACACACACAGGACACACACAAGACACACATACCACAGAACACACACAACATACATGCGACACAAACACACGACACACACAAGCCACACACACAACACAGACATACACAAGCCGCACATACCACAGAACACACACAACAGACATACACAAGCCGCACATACCACAGAACACACACAACATACATGCGACACATACACAGGACACACGTACGTCACACACACAAGACACACATACCACGGGACACGCAGAGAAACACACAGGACACACATACAGGTCACACACACCACATACACACATAAGAGACACACACACACAAGACGCACATACCACACACACGGGACACACGCAAGACGCACATACCACAGATACCACAGACGCACACACACACACGAGACACACACACACGAGACACACACACGAGACACACACACACGAGACACACACACGAGACACACACACACACACGAGACACACACACACACGAGACACCACAGGACACACACACACGAGACACACACACCACAGGACACACGACACACCACAGGACACACGACACACGGGACACACACACACACGACACACACACCACAGGACACACACACACGACACACACGAGACACACACACGGGACACACCACAGGACACACACACGAGACACACACACGAGACACACGAGAGACACACACACACACACGAGACACACCACAGGACACACACCACAGGACACACACACGAGACACGCGCGGGACTCACTCCTGAGGAAAGGCGCCGCCTCCCGCTTCAGGTACCGGCCCTGCACCTCGCTGGGTTTGCTCGCCTCGTGTCGACTTTTCTTGCGCGACAGCATCGCCTCCCTCGCTCGCTCTCTCTCCAGTCTCACAACAACAACCACCGCCTCCCACTCACGCACGCACAGCCGCACGAGCTCCACCACCACCACCACCCTCACCACCCTCCTCCTCACGGGAGGCGCCGCGCGCCCGCGCCGCGCGGGGCTCGCTGCTGAGACGCGCACGGAGAAGGGGCCGCCATCGCGGCGGCCATCATCGTCGTCATCGCCGCCGTCGTCATCACCGCGCCCCGCCCCCCCACAACCCCCCCACAACCCCCCCAACCGCCGCGCCCCGCCCCAAATTTTTAATGCCGGCGTCGTGACGTCAGCACGTTCGCGCCTCACCTCCTGACGTCATCACGCACCCACGAATTCGTTCGGATCGCGTGCGACGTCGTCGGGTGACATCATCGCGCACGACGGTTTCCCCCCACCCCGCCGATGTCGGCGCAAGTGGGTCAGCCGGCGCGGTGAAGTCATCACGCACTAGTCGATGGCGTGCGGGTTACGTCATCACGCACGACGTAATGAGTGCGCGTTCCCTAAACAGCGCAGTTTGCCTGTATGTACACAATGTGCACGTATGTGCACGTATGATGAACTTATTTCGCACTGCACGTATCCAACCGCGCTAATCGGAGGTAACGCGATGCCACCGGGCCAGGCGATGGTGGCTGTGTGCACGTTGCCTGGCATGCAGCGAGGGTTGGAGGGTGGCAACATGTCGTGAAAAGATATTCTTTCGTGGGCGTCCAAGTGCCCTAACTGGCTCGCAAGGACTCCTCCTCCGCCTGTTCCATCTCGCGTAAAATGAGAGGGTTGCTTCCTCGCTCGCGTGAGTTTCCTCCAAAAAATTTAGGCTCATTCATTCGGCTGAAAACATTTCAATATCCAGAGTGGGCGGCAGAGCTTGGGCATAAATTATTGCTGGTGCCAGCTCTCTCGCCGCCTTGGCTGGGACTCATCCTCGCGCTCGCTAACAAGAGGGAATTATGTGCGGCGGCTTGGCAAGTTGAGATCACGAGCGCATGACATGCATGGGTATGCAGGCCAGGCGGCTCCCACCGCGGTCTATCAACTGCCGAAGGGCTGCGGCACGGCGCATTCTACTTGCACTCAACACAAGCGGTCCATTTTCTCAAATATGCTAAATGTAAACAGAGGAAAGCGAATTTGCCAGTTCCCAGCACCGAGAAGCACGTCATTGCCTCATCCCAAACCCTCACGACCTGCACACACCACGGGTTTGTCCAGATTTCAACCGGTTACATTTTGTACAATTTGTCCACGAGCCCAGACCAGATTTAAACCTTTTTTTTTATTTTACCACGAAAAATGATTTCAACTGTAGAATAAAACAGCTGTTTTTCAGAAGCGACCTGGCTAACACAAACTATAGCTCAACGAAGTTGCGTATCACGTGGAAATAAATTTATAGCAGCCAAAATAATCTAAAAACACGTTTGTAAATGTAGAGAGAAAAACCAGCGGACCCCGAGAAAAATCCATGCAACCACAGGCGTTAGGGTCGGGATCGAACCTAGGAGATTGTAGGTGGCAGGCGAAGTAGCGAGCGTCTCGCCACCGTGGCGCCCGTCAGGTGCCACCCGTAAGGTGTTTCACTTGCGGGTGACACCTGAGGTAGGGTGCATAACCTTGGCTGTTCCCATCTCTGTGGCCAATAACGGTGAATTATGCGATAGCCACTTGGGGCGAGTGGGGTTACCAGGTAATTCACGGGACTCTCTCCTGTATCTGTACGGCTCATTAGCCGTACAAATACATTGGGACGAGCAGACTTTTGCTACCTTTGGTGGTACGAATATCTGCTCCGGCCCATTGACTAAAGCTGCGGCGAGGGGTGCCTAAAATGTACGAGTTGGGGAGACATTTTCATTATTGATGCATCATATCCTACATGCAATGAGCGAAACACACACACACAGTCACATGATGGATAACAAAATGACGGGTTTATTACAAGGTATAATTTTCAAGAGAAGGAATTCTTACTTGGGTTAGAAATTCCATTTATGGTAACGCTGGGCCTAAAACCAGTCCACGCGGTTTAATATAAAAGTGAAATCTCCACGAGGCCAAGACAGATTTTTGTTTTTTACGTTACTGGCCACCGATGTGGTGAAGTAGTGCGGTGGTGGTGGCAGGGATGGTGATGGTGAGGTTGGCATGATTGGTGATGGTGGTGATGGCAGCTGGATGTGCACACTTCTAGGGTTATTTTTATTTCAGTGGCGTGATCCGGGGGGGGGGCGAGGCTGGCTTCACCCAGAGTTGGAATGGGTTGTCGATAGTGTGCCCCCCAACGTTGCTCTCGTTTGCGAGCGTGTTAATCGGCGTGTTCCACATTGCTCCCGTGAGCACGTGTGTTTAACATTGCTCTCAGCGACAGTTGTTTATTGATGGGTCGTTCCGAATTGTTCTCGTCCGCGACAGCGTGATGGTCCACGGCGTGTTATTACATCGATCTTTTTGTCAGCGAAGGCGCTCTCTCGCTCAGGCTGCGCTCTGTGAAGGCATCGGCCTCGTATATTTGACAACTGCATTGCCCGTGTGCGGGCGTCTTTGCTGGGCGTCTTCTGCAATTACCCGCGGCGCGCTTTCACACGGACCGCGTCGTGTGGTCTATGATGCCGCAGTGTGGGCGTGTGCTCCCTCCGCCGATGCCGCGGTGTCGGTGTGGGCCTGCAATGCCAACACCGAGGCCTCGGGGGAGCGACGCAGCCCTGCCACATTAATGCTCATGTTGTTGACACCCAAAACTGTGACGATGACGGTGTTGTGTCTTTTGACGACTGATGGTGGTGACGAGTGTTGTTAAGGACGAAGGTGGTGGTGTTGAGGACGATTGAGTTTTAAGAGCGGTGCCAAGTCACGATATTGACGATGATGCCGAGAGCCGACGATGGTGGAGTGATGGGTTGTGAGTGTTGCTGGTGACGGGGCAACACGCCCACAGTGTTACCCAGCTACACCGAGATGTGAACACATCGTCATCTCACGACGAGGGGCCCCAAAACACATAGGGCAACAGAGGCTAGGAGTTGTGCATGTGGAATTCTGGCTTGTGACACTGTGCTGCTGCCTAACAATTTCTCTACCTCATTCCATGTTTACATCCTTGGCCAATGCACACGTGGCGAGGCAGTTGGACTGTATGTCTACTGAACGACACAGAGCCAAGTGGAGACCCCCAGATGGCCCCCCTAAAATGTAAAAACAAGACGGAGAAACCAAACGAAAACGAACGCGCTGGGCAGATGCGGGCGCTGCCAAGAGGGGACGGGGATTAGCGAGCGAGCGGAGGGACGATTCTCATGGCCCAGCGCCGCCGCCGCCGCCGATGGAACGCTCTTCTCAGATGAGATCGGCCACTGTGGAGGAGAACAGAACAATTGTGGGATTTAGCAAGCGGTGTGTAAGTAGATTTGAAGTTTTCGTGATTACAGGAATCCATACTCTTTGGTTCTTTCGGTAAAGTCACGTAAATATAAAATAAAATAAATTTAATCACGACGTTTCGCGCGCAACACAAGTGCCCATCATCAGGTGGAAACAACCACAACAATAAACAATTGCTAAAGTGGGCAAAAGGAGGCTGCTTGTGACACGAGGCTATATATACGTAAGAGGGGGTGGGGGAGGAGCCAGGGAGGAGAGATAGAGAGGGTGGGGGTGTGGGGTAGGGGGAGTGGCGAAGTTCAAGATGCACCCGAGCACAACACAATGCCGGGGCTGGGAAGTGCAAGCTCCAACCCGAGCCCGAGTACGAGGGGGGGGGGGGAGGAGCCAGGGGACACATCCCGACAGACGTTGCGAGAGCTGAAATTGCCACCATCCTTAAAAAGGCTAAAAAACCCATTAGTAACATTAGCAAAGACGAGCGCTCTGAACTCGCAAAATTGAAAAAGAGGGATGACATAGTCATCCTCTCGGCCGACAAGGGCAATGCCACTGTCATCATGGATAAAACCACATACAACAACAAAATCCAGGACCTTCTTAATGATGGCAGCTACTCCAAATCAACAAAGATCCTACTAACAGCCTGACTACAAAAACCAACAATATCATTACCAGTTCGACTTCTCTTATCAAACCAGTCAAACAGCTCTCCCTAAACCTTCTGCTTCTAGACCACCCAGATTCTATGGTCTTCCGAAGATCTATAAAGAAGGCACTCCACTTCAGCCCATCGTTTCCACTATCAACTCACCTACCTACAAGCTGGTCCGTTTTCTGTCTGATACCTTGCTTCCATTCACTGGCAAGACTACCTCAGCAGAACTTAATTCAGCTCATTGGTCTCTCTAATCAAGGGCATTTCACTGTCCCCAGATGATCTTCTCATCAGCTTTGATGTGGTTTCTCTGTTCACCAAGGTTCCAGTGCCTGACACCTTAGCAATAATTTAAGATTTAGTCCAACATGGACTGAATCCTGATGTTCCTACTCTGGTTAGGCACTGCCTTACCAACACTTACTTCACCTGGAATGGTACTTTTTCTACAAACAAAATGAAGGTACCCCTATGGGTTCCCCCTTATCACCAGTGATGGCGAATATTTTCATGGAGAAATTTGAAACAGATGCCATCCAGACATCCACCCTACGTCCTTCCTTGTGGAAGAGATATGTGGATGACACTTTCGTCATTTGGCCACATGGCCTGCCAGCATTGAACCAATTTCTCAACCACATTAATTCCATACACCCATCCATCAAATTCACTATGGAAGTGGAGAAGGATGGTAAGCTACCATTCCTGGATGTTTTGTTTGAGAAAAAACCTGATGGCTCTTTGGGACACTGTTTACAGGAAAGCCACCCACACAGATTCCTATCTGAAACCTGATTCCCACCACCATCCGGCACAGAAGAATTCCCTCATCAAAACACTGCACCACAGGGCCCACTACATGTCTGACCAACACCACCTAGCCAGTGAACTAGAACACGTACACCAGACCATCAAGATGAATGGGCACTCGGACCACATTATCCGCAAATCTGTTTCTCCAACCATGGAGAAACAACCCCCTGAGAAGTCGATCAAAACCATCACGTTACCATACATAGCAGGCGTTACCAAAAATATTGCCAAAATCTTAAACAAACGCAAGATCCAGGTTCGATTCAGTACAGTACACAAAATCCGTGATCCAATCCCATCTGTGAAGGATGTCATTCCTGACATGCAATATCCGGGAGTCTACAAACTAAGTTGCACCTGTGGTGGGTGTTACATTGGGGAAACGAAACGACATATCTCGGACCGTGTTCGCGAGTACAAGGCAGATCTGAAACACGGCAGGACTAATACCTCCGCTGTGGCTGACCATTGTTCTAACGCTGTGGGCTCTCATGATATTGTTTTTTTCGAGACCAAGGTGCTCTGCAAACCTTTGAGCTACTATCAAAGGTTTGTTCATGAAGCCATCCAGATATATAAACAGACATAACTTCAACCGAGAAGATGGATACAAATTGAGCAATCATTGGAAGGATGTTATTAACCAGGTAAAACCTTAACTGCTTTATAGTTTGCCTTCATATCCGCATCTCCAGTTTCTTCAGCCTCCTACCCTCCAGCCCCGCTCACTGCCCAGACCCGGCATTGTGTCGTGCTCGATGTGCATCTTGAACTTCGCCACTCCCCCTACCCCACATCCCCACCCTCTCTATCTCGCCTCCCTGGCTCCCCTCCCCTCCTCTTACGTATATATAGCCTCGCCCACTTTAGCAATTGTTTATTGCTGTGGTTGTTTCCACCTGATGACGGGCACTTGTGTTGCGCCCGAAACGTCGTGATTTAATTTATTTAATTTTATACCTACGTGACTTTACCGAAAGAGCCAAAGAGTATGGTGTGTATGTATTACGTATGTGGTATGTACGTTGAACTTCTTTCGTGCCGTTACGCAGCCAACCGTGCTAATCGGAGGTGCGGGGGGGAGGGGCGAAGGACAACTAAACGAAAAAAGTAGTTCTAAAGAAATGAGTTTTCAATCAAGATTTAAAACTGCATCGCTCCAGTGGCTTCCTAACATCGGAAGAGCATGTGATGGTTTGTACGATGGACTTGCAACCCAGAGTTACACCGGTTCCATCTCCCTGCACGGCAGTTGAAAGAGGGGGCAGGTTCATGAAAGTGACCCCCACCCCAGGCCTCTACCCATCCAGCCGTAAGAGTAAAACCACAGACAGTCGATGAGTAGGTCGTGTCTGGTGGGGTGAAGTCTGGGTACTCCCACCTCTTCCTAGATGTATGCCGGGTGGAAGAATAGGCCAAATAACCGATCGAGGGGCTCTCTTGAGTTTCCTTAAGTGGAGGCCTTTGCGCCGGCAGCGGCGTACGAAATTCATTGCAGGGCTGCACCTTTACCCAAATGCGAGCGCATCCCAAAGCAACGTACCTACCGCATGAACCGTCTTATTTACGTCGTCTGTCCTGCACGCTACGTCTCGTCGTAGTGCATGACCAGCACGGGGAAGTACGGTCAAACGACGTCTACGAGCGGCACGGCATGGCGGGGAGCTGGGCGGAGGGGGGCCTTCATCCAGCAGCGGAGAGCGACTAGCGGGCCTTCAACGGCAGCGTCGGCAGGCGCCCCTTACCGTTCATGGGCATCTCGTCGATCTGCGTCGAGTAGTACTGCTCGATGTCGCGCAGGATGCGGATGTCGTCGTTCTTCACGAAGTTGATGGCCACACCTTTGCGGCCGTAGCGGCCCGATCGGCCAATCCTGCGGGCGGAAAGCACCGTCGGGTTTTCGTTAAAAAAATATTTCGTGAGTGGAAGCCACGGCGCCGAGCCAGCACCGGTGTGTTTTGGAGAGCAAATCCACAACATTAACAATCTGAGTACGACGTTTCGCCAGTAATTACAACTGGCATCAGCAGACGGGCAGCCAGATTTGTGTCCGCCTGATGATGCCGTTTGTAACTAGTGGCGAAACGTCGTACTCACATTGCAAATGTTGTGGATTTGCTCTCCAACACACCGGTGTGCTGTACTAGTAACGAATTGGCATGTTCTGTTTACATGACAAACCCTTACTAATTGGCCGTGTCAGATGGTGGCGGGTTTAACGACACATTTATATTTAAGTGATCTAAGCCAAAAAAAACCTATATTATGGATGTACTATGAACATACTTTTTATTTTACCAGGTAAGGCCCACTGGGCTATTTATCTATTTTTCAGAAGCGACCTGGATATCACAAATGATAGCTCAACGAAGTGGCTTATCATCATCGTGTGGAAATTTGTAGCAGCCAAATACTCTAAACGCATGTTGACTTTAAATGCGGAGAGAAAAACCAGAGGATCCGGAGAAAAATTAAGGCACCACGGGGAGAGAACATTCAGGCATCATATACAGGCATCAGGGTTGGGATCGAACCCACAACCTCCTGCGTACCAGACAAGGAAGATAACATCTCCTAGCCACCATGGTGCCCTGTGATTAAGCCACGTTCTCAAGTCTGGCGAGTTGATCGACGGTCTAAGCCCGATCACCAATAACTGCAGGAAAAAAACCCCTAAGCATTGTATTTAATTGTGTACCTAATTGGGCTAAATTCCAGCTGAGAATTAAACATATCGGGCTTTGATAGCACGATCGGGATTAATAAAGATTTACATAAATCGTCCCGTTGCCTATGAAACCTGCTTGTTGTCCTGGCTTCCAATAAGGACCACTCTGTGGGGAAGTCAGCGGTGGTTGTCCTATGCATAAACACGCCCACCCACCATAGGAATGTGGAATTTGTCAAACGCGAGATGTAGGCCAATTTCCAAACGCTCATCGACTTTGATCTTTGAGCAGTGAATCACTGCGCTTGTTGTGCGGAGTATGCGACGGCTAGGCGCTGCCGGGACGGATACCTGTGGATGTAGAGCTCGCGATTGTTGGGGAGGTCGTAGTTGATGATGAGGGAGACCTGGGGCACGTCGAGACCGCGGGCCCACACGTCCGTGGAGATCAGCACACGGCTGCACGCACGCAGACGTAGAGATGCACGCGGGGACAAACGCAGACGCATGCTTATAGCAGCAGCAGCCGCCGCTGCCATTCACCACGAAGTGGCAATCACGCCTCCAAAACGATTGCGCCAGGCTAGGTGCGCTTAGAGTCCACATAATGCCGTCGAAGGCTTGCTCGCGGGGCAGAGGTGTTCTGGGTTAACTGCCTGAGATGACCGACAGATGCACCAGCTGTGCTCCCCACCCTTGCCAACATGCAAACACACGTACACACAGATGCACGTGACGTGAACACACGCACAAGCAAATACATGCACGCACAAACACGCACGCAGGAACACACAGCAACACACGCATCAGACGCACAGGCACACACACGCACGCAGTACACACAGACGCACCCCAACGCACCGACACCAATGCCTCGTGGGAACACAATCCACACGACTCATTTCTTCAGAACACTGCTTTTTCTGTTTGTTGTCCTTCCACCCCCGCACCTCCGAGATGAGCACGGTTGGCTACGTGAGACGCGAAAGAAGTTCAACGTACGTACGAGAAACCCCCCACCCCCCCCCCCCGAGCTCATCGGATCAGGGAAGTCGAACAGTGCCCAAGCCTGGTGTGCAGCACTTGGCTGAGCCATCAGCTTGACGCTCGCTGGGCGGTGGGGCGGGGGAGCAGTGGGGGGGGGGGGGGGGGGAGCAGCGGCGGAGCACCTCACCTGGCACCGGAGCGGAACTCCTTCATGATGGTGTCGCGCTCCTTCTGTGGCATGTCCCCGTGCATGCTGGACACCGTGAAGTTCGCCTCGCGCATCTTCTCCGTCAGCCAGTCCACCTGCGCCATGCGGTTGCGGGGAGCGGGGGAAGAGGATTAAACCATTGCAATAGTGATGAGGGGAGGGGGGGTATAAACACATTTACCATGGAAAATGGATCCCTCAAATTTCTACCCTCCAATCGACTAACAAAACAGAAGCTCCCTTAACAGACTGGCTTGCTGCCTTGTTGGTTGTTATTATGATCATGGGGAGAAGTCGCTAATCTCCTATTTTGTATGGCTGCTGATGTGGAAGCGGTGCAACAAATACAATTTCACGTTCAGGTGGTCAAGCCGGGTAACAGCAATGTTTTAACCCCGTATTTTGTAGGCAATTCTTTCAGCATTGGCATGTCTGGCCACAATACCTGTGAGATTGTGTAGTTTTTTTTAGCTGTGGGAGGAAACACATGCAGGCACGGGGGGAGAACGTGCAAACCGCACGCAGGAAGACGCCCGAATCGACGTACACGCAAGACAAGAGCGGTACCCGCTGCGCCACCCTGCCACCGTGCCACCGTGCCACCGTGCCACCCTGCCACCCAGGACGTCATCGCTTGAAGGGGGGAGGGGGGGGCACCTTGCGCTTGGTGTTGCAGAAGATGACGGCCTGGGTGATGGTGAGCGTGTCGTAGAGGTCGCACAGGGTGTCGAACTTCCACTCCTCGCGCTCCACGGCCACGAAGAACTGCTTGATGCCCTCCAGGGTCAACTCGTCACTTGAGGCGCACAAACACCACACGCGTGCCAAGTCAGTGTGGCGGGGGGGGGGCCCTCAGCGTCACAAATGCACGGCCCCTTTGTCAATCCACTGCTGGATGAAGGCCTCCCCACGCAGTGTCGGTTGCGTGGGGGGTTGCCCGGCAGTGCTACACCCACGCTGGTAATGCGGACAAACAAACGAGTCGACGGGCAAGGCGGACGATGCAAACGGGACGGAACAAACGGGACAGACAATGCAAGGCAGAACCTATGGGACAGGCTAGGCAGACCTTACAAGGTAGAACACGACACAAAAGGGATAGACACACCTATCCCCTTTAAATGAACAAAAGAGACTGCTCTGCCAACGGCATGGCTTGGGCAGCATGGGCCAGGAAGGCAATGGGCCTCCCCCCCTCCTGTCCCCAATTCCCCTGCCTCTTGGTAGCCCGGGACTTGGCCCTTCCAGCCCGAGGGGGCCCTGGCGCGGGTGCACCGCCCGCACACTTAGCTACGCCGCTGCCCCCCACGCCCCCCACCCACCCCTCCCACGTGCGATTCGCGCTATGCCCTACCGTTTGACCAGGATGCGGATGGGGTCCGTCATGAACTTGTTCGTCATCTCCAGGATCTCGTGCGGCAGCGTGGCGCTGATGAGGCACACCTGCGTCGCCGGGGGCAGGTAGCGGTACACGTCGTAGATCTGCTCCTTGAAGCCTGCCAAGGCAACAAAACGATACATCGACGATGCGACACGGCCGCGGCGCGTTCGCCCCCCCACCGTTCCGAAATTCCGGCAGGCCACCCCAGGTGGTTAACGGCGTCTGCTTCACAGCGGACGTTAAGGATCCGGTGCGATGCCATCGGGTACGCAGAGTGAGCCACCGTGTGTGCCGGCGTCACGGTCCAAGTTTGAAAAACAATTAGGCCGCAAATTACTCGATTGGGATGACCCAGAGTAATCATCGCTGGCAGGTGCCGAGTCACTGTGCCACACCGTGACAGCCGTCATTGCGGGGGGGGGGGTGGTCTCGTTTTGAATGTTTACTACTGGCAGGGCGGCTAGCGGCAGTGGTGACGCTCGTGCCTCACAGCAAGAAGTGCCTGGGTTGGATTCCCATCTCGGGCGCCTTGCTGTGTGGAATGTGTATGTTCTCTCCCTGTTCTGCACGAGTTTCTTCCAGGTTCTCTAGTTTCCGCCCATAAGAAAACCCCACAGAATTTGACACCGGCTCATCGCGCGACCGCTGTCTGCCCAACCCGTCTGTGGTTCTGCTGGACATCTGTGAAAGAGCTTTATAGCTCATCGGATTCCTCCAGTATAATTGAACATTCCGATTGCGAATGTTTGAGGCGAGATGTTGATGTAAGGGCGATGTGGAGTCGCCGAGGCATTTGAGCGTCGTTAAAAACGCTCGCGAACACACACATCACTAGGGTTCTTTAATGTATGCACTGGCTTCCTCTTCAAATTGACAATTGATTTTCAAGGTCTGCTTACTCCTATTAATTATGCTCATTTGTCCAGGAAAGCCTCGGTACTCCTTTTAAGTGATTACGTTTGTCTCCCCCAGCGCTCACGTTCACACACGGCACCAGGAACTCCGTTTAACAACCTATTGTGACCTCACGTGACCATTCGGTAAGATGTGGAGCACCCGCATACGACAATTATACGGTGGGCTAATAAAACTACGGTTGGGCCACGACAAATTCAAATACAATTTATTTGGATTAATTAGGGTTACGGTTGAGTTGACAAATGAAATGAACTATAAACTATTATCTTTTTTCACCAGGAAAGGCCCATTGAGCTACACAGCTTTGTCAGAAGCGACCACAAATGATAGCTCAACGAAGTGGCTTATCATCACGTAGAAATTTTAAGCAGACAAATACTCTAAATGCATTTTCTTAAATGTCGAGGGAAAAAGCGAAGGACCCGGAGAAAAATTCACGCGACCACAGGGAGAACGTGCAATCTTCAAATATACAAAAGCATCAAGGTCAGAATTGAATGTTAACATCTCGCCGGGGGCGAGATTTTAACGGAGGTAACGCATCGAATGTTAGCCAAGGTAAGGAATTGAACAATGTTATTGTAACCCCCGGGTGAGGTGTCCCAGTATGCCCTTGCGTGCGTGTCAAGGAGTGCGAGTCGGCACGTGCGAGTGAGCGTGCGAGTGAGCGAGCCGCCCACCTTTGTTGAGCATCTCGTCCGCTTCGTCCAAAACCAGCATCTTTATCGCACGCGTGCGCAGATTCCTGCGACGGATCATGTCTGTGCAAAAAAGTCACCAACATCGCACGTGTGTCAGTCACAAGCGCGAGCACAAATAACACGGAACTCCGAGCCGCGTAAAAAACACAACTCTCGTTTACGCGGTGTGGCCAGGACATAAAAACAACCCACGGATAACGCGAAACCAACGTAAATCACGTTATATAAAACGCAGCAAAGCGGTGGGCTCTGGGCAGCACAACGGGGGGTAGGTGCAAGAAAGACGCTTCCGGATGAAAACGCAGCTGCAATCGACGTAACGGCGTGGGGCAACGTACCGAAGACACGGCCCGGCGTGCCGGCCACGACGTGCTGCCCGTAGTCCAGCTTGCGGATGTCCTCACCCACGTTGGTGCCGCCGATGCACGAGTGGCACTGAACGCTCATGTAGTCTCCCAGCGCCTTCAGCACCTGGAGGGCCGCGGAAGGGGCGACGCTTGACCGAGTGAGAGACTCCTCGAGGCCGCGTGAGTCTACACTATTTTACTAAAACTATTTTTTATGTTAACCGGGAAAGGTCCCGCTGAGCTGTAGAGCTCTTTTTCAGAAGCGACCTGGCCACGAATGTCAGCTCAACGAAGTGGCTTATCACGTGGAAGTGTATAACAGCAAAATACTCTGAACGCACGTTAATTCTATATATTTGCGAGCTCCAAATATACAGCAGGCGTCATGGTCGTGATCAATCCATGCCCTCCTGTATACCAAGCAAGGTAGCTAACATCTCGCCACTGTGGCGTCTACACGAGCGAGCGATGCATGGAATCAATAGATGAGGAATCGCCAATAAAAATGGGCTTGTTTTTATCCACTTCTCAAAAATTAACTTACAACTGCCACGTTATTCCCAACTACAATCGTGTTCATATTATTTGTGTACAGCAGTTTGGTCTTGACAACTATCGGCAGGTCACACTCTCGCTTATGCGTGTCAAGCGCACGCAGCAAATTGTACCTTCTGTATTTGTGTGGCCAACTCTCTTGTTGGAGACAAGATGAGGGCTTGGGTTTCCCGGACCTGTAACTCACACACACACACAAATTAGCATCACGAGTAGCACTATAACCACCATTACCACTATCAGTATGACGGCTATCGCCACCGCTACCATTACCACCACTATTATAAACATTACTATTTACTCTACATTCACCATCATTAACAGCGCTATTGTCTTCACTGTTACCATCACCATAACTACTTTTGTCCTAATAAATGTAATCATCACCAACGGTATTATTCTCCGTACTGTCACCATCCTTGCTGTCATCACCACGGTGACTATAAGGATAATCATCTGCATGGCTACAGCACTGTCCCAGACCAATTCTTGCAAAGACAACCTTGAGACTCAGTGAGGACATGCTTTATTAAATGACACGAGTATTGTTACTACTCCAGACGTAGCTAACATTACAGAGCCTCTCTCCACATCGGCGCCACAGTGGCGAGATGTTAAATACCTCGCCTGGGATACAGGATGTCATAGGTACGATCCCGACCCTGACGACAGTATATCTGGAATTTGCACGTTCTCCCCGTGGTTACGTGGATTTTTCTCCGGGTCCTCCGGTTTCTCCCTCCACATTTAGAATCAACGTCACCACGCGTTTAAGAGTATTTGGCTGCCGCTATAGATTTCCACACGACGATAAGCCACTTCGTTGAGCTATCATTTGTGATAGCCAGGTCGCTTCTGAAGTAGAACTGCACAGCTCAGTACGGCCTTACCTGGTGAAATAAACATCGACTGCAACAACCCATCAATCGGGTCTCTCACCTGGGTGTCCAGGCACTGGAGCACCGACACGCAGAAGGTCGCCGTTTTCCCCGTACCGGACTGAGACCTGTGCACGGCGGGTGGGCGAGATAGAGGAGTCGTCGTTACATCTCGTGTGGGTTGTGATTCGTCTGTGACCCATGTGTGGATTGTGGCCCTTTAATCTGCACGCGAGTTGTGATTGGTCTGCGATACGCGCGCGCGCGAATTTTGAGTGTCGTGTGGATTGTGACTGTCGGGTGATGTGTGTGCATTGTGAGTGTTGTATGTGATCTGCGTGGATGTGACTGTTTTGTGATGTGTGTGGATTGTAACTCATGTGTGTGATGTGTGTGAATTTTTAGTGTTGTGTGTGATGTGTGGATTGTGACTGTCGTGTGTAATGTGTGTGGATTGTTAGTGTTGTGTGCGATGTGTGTGGATTGTTAGTGTTGTGTGTGATGTGTGTGGATTGTTAGTGTTGTGTATGATGTGTGTGGATTGTTAGTGTTGTGTGTGATGTGTGTGGATTGTTAGTGTTGTGTGTGATGTGTGGATTGTGACTGTCGTGGGTAATGTGTGTGGATTGTTAGTGTTGTGTATGATGTGTGTGGATTGTTAGTGTTGTGTATGATGTGTGTGGATTGTTAGTGTTGTGTATGTGTGTGGATTGTTAGTGTTGTGTGTGATGTGTGGATTGTGACTGTCGTGTGTAATGTGTGTGGATTGTTAGTGTTGTGTGCGATGTGTGTGGATTGTTAGTGTTGTGTGCGATGTGTGTGGATTGTTAGTGTTGTGTGTGATGTGTGTGGATTGTTAGTGTTGTGTATGATGTGTGTGGATTGTTAGTGTTGTGTGTGATGTGTGTGGATTGTTAGTGTTGTGTGTGATGTGTGGATTGTGACTGTTGTGTATGATGTGTGTGGATTGTTAGTGTTGTGTATGATGTGTGTGGATTGTTAGTGTTGTGTATGTGTGTGGATTGTTAGTGTTGTGTGTGGATTGTGACTGTCGTGTGTAATGTGTGTGGATTGTTAGTGTTGTGTATGATGTGTGTGGATTGTTAGTGTTGTGTGCGATGTGTGTGGATTGTTAGTGTTGTGTGTGATGTGTGTGGATTGTTAGTGTTGTGTGTGGCTTGCGTGTGGGTCTACACGAAGAGCGATTGTTCCGAGTGGGCGAACGCACTGTGCGATGACGTCACGGCCCTTGATGATCTGCTTGATGGCTCGCTGCTGGATCGCCGAGGGCTTCTCAAAACCTGAAACACACAACGTGCCGCTCTTGTTACACACTCGTTACACTCTCATTGGTACACCACAGTTTTGTTAACAGATGCAACTTTCAGGTAAGGTTGTTCGTTTAGGATTTTTGAGCATTATTGATAATCACATGTGATAGCTTTGCTGTATGGGATTGTACCAGTTTTTATTATTTTGTGTTTATATTTATTCATGGTGGTTTGGCCTGTACTCGTCTCGTGTTTGAGTCTCAAGACTTTGTCTGGGAAAAAACATAAAGCCCCCGAATGTATTTATATATAGTGGTTTGTTTTGTGCAGTCAGTCGTGACTGGGCTAAGTTCTAAAAACTCACGGCACACAAAAGCTCAGCTTCATCACGTGTGCATGGAATCCGGATTCAGACCCAGGGTCTCGACAGTCAGCTCAGTGTCGCATGCCACGGCCATTGTGTACCCCCAGACAAAACACCAGGGCTTAGATTTGAACACAATTACTATAACAGACAGCACCGTGCTCACACCTCACGGATCTTCCTTGTTAAATAGCCGGGAAAGTGGATAAACGGGACCATCCGTGTAACCTATCAACAGAAACTCTCAATAGTGTAATACTAGTGACGGTATCACTCACTCCTCTGTTGATCGAGGCCACAAATTGAACTCAGAACACCGGGTTTACAAGTTATATGCGCTAACCAATGCACCACAGCTCCACCCGTATCGTATACAAAACTAACAGTGAATTCTTACAAGCCCTAACAAGTCCCACCGAATAAACTGATCATAATATCCGTATAATTATCAGCAGTGATGATTATCAATCCACTGCTAGATGAAGGCTTCTCTAAGTCTCGCGGTGGCGGTCTACCTCCACCCGAGTTCATGCCATCGCTCGCGCCGTCGGACGCACGCGTTCCATTTCATTGCAACGCTACAATGAACACCATAAACCACACAACTTCACCACCAATGTATTCAAATGAGCGCACTCTGTTTTACCATCAACACGATCACACCCACAGCTTTACCATTATTGTTATTATCATTAACACGACCACGCTCTCAGCTTTATCATCAACACGATCACTCTCAGCTTTATCACCTTCGATTATCACAGTTGGCTACGTACGGTGGGAAATAAGTTTAACGTACATAACTGTAATTAACATAAACACGACCACTCTCAGATTTACCATAAACACGGGGGCACACTCTCTACGTCACCATTACTCTACTAACACAATCTTTAACACACTTTAACCACTAACACGGAGGCACACTCTCTACGTCACCATTACTCTACTAACACAATCTTTAACACACTCTCAACGTCACCATTACTCTACTAACACAATCTTTAACACACTCTCAACGTCACCATTACTCTACTAACACAATCTTTAACACACTCTCAACGTCACCATTACCCTACTAACACAATCTTTAACACACTTTCACCACTAACACGGAGGCACACTCTCTACGTCACCATTACTCTACTAACACAATCTTTAACACACTTTCACCACTAACACAGGGGCACACTCTCAACGTCACCATTACTCTAACACAATCTTTAACACACTCTCAACGTCACCATTACCCTACTAACACAATCTTTAACACACTTTCACCACTAACACGGGGCACACTCTCAACGTCACCATTACTAAACTAACACAATCTTTAACACACTTTCACCACTAACACAGGGGCACACTCTCTACGTCACCATTACTCTAACACAATCTTTAACACACTCTCAACGTCACCATTACTCTACTAACACACTCTCAACGTCATCATTACCCTACTAACACAATCTTTAACACTTTCACCACTAACACGGAGGCACACTCTCTACGTCACCATTACTCTACTAACACAATCTTTAACACACTCTCAACGTCACCATTACTCTACTAACACAATCTTTAACACACTTTCACCACTAACACGGGGCACACTCTCAACGTCACCATTACTCTACTAACACAATCTTTAACACACTTTCACCACTAACACGGGGGCACACTCTCAACGTCACCATTACTCTACTAACACAATCTTTAACACACTTTCACCATTAACACGGAGGCACACTCTAAACTTCACCATTACTCTACTAACACAATCTTTAACACACTTTCACCACTAACACGGAGGCACACTCTAAACTTCACCATTACTCTACTAACACAATCTTTAACACACTTTCACCACTAACACGGAGGCACACTCTAAACTTCACCATTACCCTACTAACACAATCTTTAACACACTTTCACCACTAACACGGGGGCACACTCTCAACGTCACCATTACCCTACTAACACAATCTTTAACACACTTTCACCACTAACACGGGGGCACACTCTCAACGTCACCATTACTCTAACACAATCTTTAACACACTCTCAACGTCACCATTACCCTACTAATACAATCGTTAACACACTTTCACTACTAACACGGGGGCACACTCTCAACTACACCATTACTCTACTAACACAATCTTTAACACACTCTCAACGTCACCATTACCCTACTAACACAATCTTAACACACTTTCACCATCAACACGGAGGCACACTCTCTACGTCACCATTACTCTACTAACACAATCTTTAACACACTTTCACCACTAACACGGGGCACACTCTCAACGTCACCATTACTAAACTAACACAATCTTTAACACACTTTCACCACTAACACAATCTTTAACACACTCTCAACGTCACCATTATGCTACTAACACAATCTTTAACACACTTTCACCACTAACACGGGGGCACACTCTCTACGTCACCATTACTCTACTAACACAATCTTTAACACACTCTCAACGTCACCATTTCTTTACTAACACAATCTTTAACACACTTTCACCACTAACCCGGGGGCACACTCTCTACGTCACCATTACTCTACTAACACAATCTTTAACACACTCTCGTCACCATTACTCTACTAACACAATCTTTAACACACTTTCACCACTAACACAGGGGCACACTCTCTACGTCACCATTACTCTACTAACACAATCTTTAACACACTTTCACCACTAACACAGGGGCACACTCTCTACGTCACCATTACTCTACTAATACAATCGTTAACACACTTTCACCACTAACACGGGGGCACACTCTCTACGTCACCATTACTAAACTAACACAATCTTTAACACACTCTCAACGTCACCATTACTCTACTAACACAATCTTTAACACACTTTCACCATTAACAAAAGACACCGCGCTTCGCCGCTAACACGACATCACGCAGCCTAGGCCCACGCTAGGCGAGACGAGGCCTGGGCAACGCTGCCGAGGCCTGGCCTGGCCCGCCGCACCGTAGGCGTAGATGCCGCGCAGCAGGTCCTCGCGCAGCCCCATGGAGTCGAAGGTGGGCGTCACGTCCACCTCCTCGCTCGTCTCGAACTCGATCTTGGAGAAGTCCTCCTCGAGCACGCGGCGCGGTCTCGCTGGGGCTGCCATCGCTGCTCTTGCCTCCTCTCCTACTCCCTCAACGACGACGACAGAGACGCGCACTGCGCATGCGCAGTTAAACGCTTTACGGCAGGCGGTGTCGCAAAGCGGTCTCTCGCACGCGGCGGTGGGGGAATGTTGGAGGGGGGGGGGTCACGATGGTGACGTCACGGCGCGCGCGGTCGCGAGCGGAAGCGCGTCACCGGCGCCGTGTCGCCATCTTGATTAGTTCAACGGGGAGTTTAGCCGCATTATGTATTTAATAAAACGCGTTGTTATTGTTACTTTAATATTTACTTATTTATACTGCGGGAGTAGTCCGATGAGCCATAACGCTTTTTTTTCACAGATGTCCAGCAGGGGCGCGGGGGTAAGAACGTTAACAACAACAAAGAGTGCAAGAACACGATAGGAGTGCAAAGTCCAAGAAAGGCAAACAACAACCGCCATTCGCCACTAAGTGACGGTGACGTGACACCACGACGCTTGTGCCAGGCTAGGTGCACGATGAGGCCACGTGAAGTGTCGAACGCCCGCCGGTCACGGGGTAGACCCAGCAGGTGCCACGGGGTCGACTGAGACGAGTGGCCGACGCACCACCTGGTGGTGCCCCCTACCGTGCTCACAGTAAACAAAGCACCCAACACAAACACAACAACACAAACACAACAACACAAACACAAAAACAACACAAACACAACAACACAAACAACAAAAACAACACAAGCAACAAAAACACAACACAAACACAACAACACATACACATAACACAACACAACAACACAAACACAACACAAACACAACAACAACACATACACACAACACATAACACACAAACACACAACACAAACACAACAACACATACACACAACACACAACCACACAACACATACACATAACACACACACCCAACACAAACACAACAACACAAACACAACAGCACAAACTCAACAACAACACAACAACACAAACACAACAACACATACACACAACAACACACAACCACACAACACAACAACACAAACACAACAACACAACACAAACACAACAAAACACAACACATACACAACAACACACAACCACGCAACACAAACACAACAACACGAACACAAAAACAACACAAACACAACAACACACAACACAAACACAACACAAACACAACAAGACAACAACACTGCACCATCCCCATTCTACCGGGCAAAGCCCACTGAGGTATTCACTTATTTTTGGCCACCACAAATGATAGCTCAACAAAGGCGGCTTATCGTTTGGACATTTAAAGCAACAAAATCATCCTGATAGTCTAAACGTAACGGTACTCGAATTGTAAATGTTGTTGTGGGTTCACTCCCACCACACACCTGTCACGATTTGGCCCCGTGTCGGGTGGTGGCGGGTTCAACGACACATTCATATTTACACGACCTAACCCCAAAAATACCCTCCTCGATTATGGGTCGTTTAAAGTAAAAAATAAAATAGCGAGCTGAAGTTAGTGAACAAGACACAGTCACGAGCGCCGTTGTGTAAAGGCTGGCGGTGGTGGCTACCGGCGCCTGTGGAGGCAGCAGCGAGGGTTGGTGGATCACACACAGATGGTGCGAAACTCCCTTCTACCCGTGTGCGTCGAGGAGCCGCGTGCCCTGGCTCGTCAGGAGAAGGCGGCACAGCAGAGTGCTCTACGGCCTCCACTTGTTCAATCTGCATGGGATAGAGCGTTGCCCCCTCGTGCGTGTGGGTTTTCTCCGGGTGCCCCAGTTTCCGCCCGCATGTCAACACGCAATTGGCCGACACGGAGAGGAAGATAATAAGTTGTACATGACGATGGCAATGTCCTGCAATTATGGCTTTATTTTTTGATGATTTGGGAAACGTTTTTTTGGTTTGGACATGTTTGTTTTGTTGTAGTACGGAGTTAGACTGATGGCCTTAATCTAAGTTTTTGTGGTGGTTGTTGTTGTTGTTGTTTGACTTGCATCCCACTGGGATTTTTTGCACACAGCGTTGGTGTACGGTACTTTTTTCAAGAATATTTTTGCTGTTTTTTTCCATGGATTTTCTGTTTGCAAAGTCAACACATAGTCACTTTAAGATGTTTTTCTTGTTCGTGTTTTTGTTTTTTTGTTTGTTGTGGTTGCACCCGATTCAAGAGCCGGATGGCTCACAGGGCTATACCAAAATAAACTGAACTGAAACTGAACTGAACTGCTGGAGACTCCTCGCAAAGTGACGCACTTACTCGCTGGAATGTTACTCTTACTAGATTTTGATTTTTGACGTAATTTCAAACGAGACGTCATATTTCACCACCGAATGCGGTTTGCGAGGATCGTTCGTCAGCTTGCTGGGAGCTGATGAAAAATAAGCGCATGTAACGCGTGTACACGTCACAATGAGCGCATGAAACGCGTGTACACGTCACAATGAGCACATGAGACGCGTGTACACGTCACAATGAGCGCATGAGACGCGTGTACACGTCACAATGAGCGCATGAGACGCGTGTACACGTCACAATGAGCGCATGAGACGCGTGTACACGTCACAATGAGCGCATGAGACGCGTGTACACGTCACAATGAGCGCATGAAACGAGTGCACACGTAAAGCAACTACGTCATCTATTCAATATATATTATTAATCATATCGGCTATGAAAACCGACGTGTTAAGAAAGTAGCTAGGAGTGTTGTTGTTGTTGCCTCAAGTCCGTCAGACATAGACGTCTCGGCCTACTGTTAAGCAAGTCGGGCACGCCGCGGCGGCGAGATGTTAACTCCCTCGCCTGGGATGCAGGTCGTGGGTTCGACCCTGATGCCTGCTGTATGTGGCCGTCACCTGATGATGCTGCTGCTTGTTGCTGTAATTACCGGCGAGACGTTACGGTACTCGCATGTTAATGTCGGGTTACTCTCCAACACACAACCGGTTTGCTGAGCTAGTAACGAACCGGCATGTTTTGTTAATGTGACAAACCTTGTCAATTGGTTGTGGCGGGTGGTGGTACTTTTAACGACACATTTATATTTACGTGATCTAATCCAAAATAAGTAATATTTGAAACAACTTTAACAAAAAACACGCTGTAATGAAATGTACCGTACTGGCAATGTAAGAACTCCACGACTCCAGGAAGTGGCCCCGAAGCTTGCCACAACATAAGGGCCCGTGGTGACTTACAGCCAACTTCAGTTGACCGTGGACAAGTAGACCCAAGCCGAAACATAACATATAAAACATAATGTATAAAAATATATTTTAATGCTAGAATATAGTATTGGCATCAGTATGACATAAGTATACCAAGTTTGCAGTCGATACCACATTGGGAAGAGGGTTATAATGGAGTTACAAGATTTGAGGATAGCACAACAACAACAGAGTGAGTTAATAAAAAGCGTGCAAAAACCCTCTATTATGTATATTTGTAGTTTACATGTTTTCCCTGTGGTCGAGTCGATTTTTCTCCAGTTTTCCCCTCCACATTTAGAAACATGCGTTTAGAGCGTTTGGCTGCAATACATTTCAACATTTGTGGCAAGGTCGCTTCTGAAGAGCTTTATAGATCGGTGGGCCCGACCTGGTAAAGTAAAATGTTGCAGGTTTTTTTCTTTTTTCAAGTGAGCTACAGTAAGTAGTTCTATCCTACAGCGAGGAGACCCCAATCAACGTCATCCTCAAACGTTTAAAAAACGTTCGCCATCGCGGGGGAAAGAAAAAGAAAAACACATTTTGACGTTCATATTTTTATTATTCATTATTACTCTTTTAATTATATTTGAAATCTTTAACAAGAACAATGACATTATCAAAAACCTGATGCCCAATCACAAGTGCACGACATTACTCGTAAAATCACAGCAGATCACGGATATGTAGAACGAGTCAAGTAAAAACCTCCAGGCCATTAGTCACTTCACGATGCATATCTTCAGCCACGGGACTCATGCGTGGGTTCTGGACCCTGCCTCTGCAGTTCTCTTGATTCTTAATGCACAAAGCTTCAATACCCAGTGTATGGTTTCGGAAGAAAAGGAACTCTAGCCAAAAAAAAATACTTCTGGAGAGACGTTTCAGGATTCATAAAGCAACAGCTACCAAACGCAACAGTTACCCGTGTGTATGGGGCAGTCCCCGTGTGTCTGGGGCAGTGCCGGTGTCCCAAGAAGCATTTGCAGAATCGTGTATTTATTTGTTCTTGTTTATAATTGTCTGGCCTCATGCTCGACTCATGATAGGGGGAGGGGGGGCGGGGTAAAGGACGGGGGGCTACCTGAGCAGTGAGCGGGGTTAGCGGGGGCGTGGGGAGGGTCTATGAGCAGCAGGTCAGGGCCAACTTCAGAACAGAGGCCGATGAGTGGGAGGGGGGTAGTGGTTGAGTGGGAGGGGGGTAGTGGATGAGTGGGAGGGGGGTAGTGGTCGAGTGGGAGGGGGGTATTGGTTGAGTGGGAGGGGGGTAGTGGTTAAGTGGGCGTGGTTAATGAAGGGGAGGGGCTGCCAGCTCACCACCACGTGTCCCAGTTGAGTCTCCCAGAAACATGGCGTGTTTCGCGATCCAGCCCTCTTGGACTGCCAGTTAGATGTGTGATGAATCTCTCCGTCACCTCCCTTGCCCGTAACAATTTAAAGAATTGTTGCAATTCAGGATGACAATTAGATTTCAGAATCTGTTCTTTATTGTTACATTATGGTGCATGGAGTGGTCTCTCATGGCTGCGAGCATCACATGCACCTACTGAATACCTGCTTCTTCAAATAGCGCCCCAGAGGTCAGATTGTGGCCTGCAACGGCTCATGGTAGTGGTCCAAAGAGCTATGGCCCACAGAGAGATATGGCTCACCAAGACGTAGATACACATGAGATGAGTGAGAGATGAACGAGAGATAAGAGATGATTAATCTGTAGACAAACGGATACAGATTCGCGAGAGGTGAAAGAGACATGACCAAGGGGATACATGCGAAAGGGGCGATTGTGACCAGAGGACTATCAGTCGTCCCGTCATGCCTTGCGCGTCACGTGATGTCACTGCACTGCGTGTATCGCGCACACAGCCTTGGGTTAGACTACCCAGCTGTTAAAAACAACATAGCCAAGAT